CCCCTCTCTTGGCCTTCAAAGAATTGAAAAGAGTGAGGGCCTTGCTCTGGATTAGGCTTTGGCTTAAGGGAATGTTTGGTCTTCTACCCAGACCACTCAAACTTTCTCCATATCAGCAGTAAAGTTGTCTTTTTATCATTCATATGTTCACTGGAGTAGCACTTTTGATTTCCTTCAAGAACATTGCCTTTGCCTTCGCAACTTGGCTGTCTGGTACATGAGGACTAATGTTCGGCCTCTCTCAGCTTTCCACAATCCTTCCTTAATAAGCTTAATCATTTCTAGCTTTTGATTTAAAGTGAGAGACTTGTGATTCTTCCTTTCACTTGAACACTTAGAAGCCACTGTAGGGTTACTAACTGGCCTGATATCAATACTGTGTCTCAGGGAATAGGGAAGCCCAAGGGGAGGCAGAGAGAAGATGGAATGGTCAGTGGAGCAGTGAGAACACACACAACAATCATCAATTAAGTTCACTGTCAGATAGGTGGGGCTCGTGGCACCCCAAAACAATGAAAATAGTAACATCAAAGATCACTGATCACAGATCACCATAAAAAATATAATCCTAATGGAAAAGTTTGAAATATTGTGAGAATTACCAAAATATGACACAGAGACACGAAGTGAGCAAATGCTGTTGGAAAAATGGCACCTATAGACTTGCTTGATGCAAGGTTGCCACAAACCTTCAATCTGTAAAAAAAAAAAAAAAAAGCACATCTGCGAAGTGCAGTAAAGCAAAGCACAATAAAACAAGGTATGCCTGTAAATTAAACTCCTCTATTTAAAAAGAAAAAAAAAACAGGGGGCCCCACAGGCAAGGGGAGTTTGAAGTCCCAACTCACTCTTCACCTGGGCTTCTAAGGCCTCTCTGGTGTGACAGCTCTGTGGGACCACCTCAGTCCCCCCACCTCCAGTGCCCTTCTGCACTTTCTTTGCTCACCATCTACCCATCAGCCCTGTGAAGCTCTAGGTCCAGCTTGGGCCACTCTTCTCCAAGAAGCCCACCACAACCACTGGGGCCCACCACGGTGTTCAAAACCACTCCAGGGGCGCCTGGGTGGCTCAATTGGTTAAGCGACTGCCTTTGGCTCAGGTCATGATCCTGGAGTCCTGGGATCGAGTCCCGCATCGGGCTCCCTGCTCGGCGCGGAGTCTGCTTCTCCCTCTGACCCTCCCCCCTCTCATGCTCTCTCTCTCTTTCTCTCTCTCAAATAAATAAATAAAATCTTAAAAAAAAAAAACCACTCCAAACTATTTCCCAGGTGCCAGTGAAAGCTTCCTGAAGATTAAGTGGCCTTTTTTTCTTTCCCCACCTTTTTTTTTTTTTTTTTTTTTTGGCGAATGCTTAGGAGAAGAGCAGGTTCACAATAAAACATGGGCTCACAATAAACCCGTCACTTCCCCTCTCTGTGACCTCCAAAGGCCTTCCTTGTACTCTAAGAGGAAGCCCCTTATCCAGACCCTGTGAATCAATTATTTCTGAAAATATTTACTGAACATGAGAGCAATACAGTGCTGTTAAGAAGGCCTCCTAGCCTGCCAGCAAGCCAAAGCGGGGCCCTGGGGCAGGACTTGGCTGACCATTCTCTGGATGGGAGAAGGGGTAGCGTAGCCTCAGCCTGGGATGTCAGGGCATCTCTGGCTCGGGCCCACAGACCTGCCAAGTGACTCCATTCAGCTCATTTGGCACCTCCTCCTTGGCAGGCCCTAGCAACAGTGAGCAAAACCATCAAAAGCACTACAACAGGGATCCCTGCTATGGGAGTCAGGAGAACAGAACCTTCCCCAAGGAAATGAGGTGGGAGCAGAGTATTAGGAGGGGAAGGGGATCACTGGTCAGAGAAGGAAGCAGGGAGATTCCAGGTCAAGGGATCGGCTTCAGCGAAGGCGCAGGCTGACTATTCTCCCAGCATGGGCAGTCACAGATACTGGCTGGTGGGATTCCCAGCAGAAGGATCCTAGGCTGCCCAGCCCGGGCTCTCAACGACCCCAGACCCGCAGCTTCCTTCTAGGTAACTGGGTAACTGATATGCCAGCAGCAGCTGCTTGCCTGTCAACTCACAGCAGGTGCTGGGCACTGCAGTTTTGATGTTCAAATATGGGGGAAAGAAATTCCAGAAACCAAACATGATTGTCCTACATACTTCTCCACCATTAAACAGCAAATGCAAAAGAAAGACAATCTCCAGGATCCCCACAGGCTATCCCCACGTGAAGCCATGTCAGCCTGGAGGGAGCTCTCTGCAGATGGGAAACAGATTCAAGGGATCACGGTGCTGTTATCTCCCACTGAGGGATGCTACAACCTCCAGCTCAGCTCTGGGGCATGCGCTTTGAGAGGGAAAGGCATGATGAACTAAAGCCAATCCAGAGAAGCAATCAGATGGAGGAGGTTCTTAGAACCACATCAGAGGAAGGACAGCTGATGGACGGCCCTAGAGGTATTTCTCTTGGAGAACAGAGATGTGTGGAAGGCAGGAGCCGACCTCTTGAAGAGAGAGGAAGACAGATTATCTTGCTGTGTTGCACCCACCCACCCCGACCCTCTAGTCCTGCAGTTACCACATCATTGTGAAACCACCTGCTTATAAATCCTCACCCGTCCTGAAAACCACAGCTCCCTGAATGAAACCTGTGCGTGAGTCACTTCTGAGGCACCAGCAACTAACTGGCGGCCAGGACACAGCAAATGCTGAACTGAAAACAGAAACCACAGGAAGGCCTATTGTGGCTCAAGAAAAGGAAGTGCTTTCTAACAATCCCAGTTACCTACAGCAGGCCAGGATGTTTGGGAGGAAGCATACTGTCAGAGAAAGGTCTGGAAGCAACAGAATACCCTCATGCTGGTAGGACTAAATGGCCCCCTGAGGTTTCTTCCAATTCTAGGACCCCGCCTCCTGAAGCAGTGAGGGGAGCCACAGGCAGAGGAGATGCACCGACACGCCAGGCACACACATCCAGTCCCTGTCTTGTAAACCCTCACAATCCCGTGAAGTAGGCACTATTATAATTCCCATTTTACAGTGGAGGAATCCGAGGCTCAAGAAGGTTCAGTAACTTGCCAACGCCATAAAACCAGTAGGAGGTAGAAGTGAATGGCAAACCAAAACCACCAGGCTGCCCACCTGGGCTGAGAGAGAACATCTGCCCTCCTATCCACACGGTGGGCAGCTCCAGCCCTTTGCAGCTGGTGGCTCTCCATGGGCAATAATATTAACTGGCTTCATCTCCCCCTGAGGCCAAAACTTTTCAAAAGCATTTTTACATCCATAAGCCCAAGAGCCCACTGCCACCATACCCAGCTCTAAGGCAAAAGAATTGGTCTAGGGCCATCTGTCCTGTGGGAGCCTAGGGGCTGCCCTCTCCTCCTAGACCCCAACCAATAACACAAGATGCAATGGGAAGGGGTTGGGGAGGCTCTCCTGAAGGAGGCAACATCTGAGCTAAGCCTTCAATGACGAACCGGACAAGGACAAGTGAGGGGGCAGTGTGGGGCAGCAGAGGGGAAAGGGCATTCCAGACAGAGGAAACAGCAGGAGCAAAGGCGGAGAAGCAAGAAGTGTGTGGAGAATCACAAGCAGTTTGGGTTGCCAGAACATAAAACGCAAATTGAACAGTGGAAGGACACAACGATCAAAGAGATAAGCAAGGGCTGCTAAACTGCGAAGGACTTTGAATGCCACGTTAGGGAACCTGAACTTGATTTAGCCTGAGGGCAATAAGGAGCCACGGAAGGGTTTTAGGCAGACCGGTGATAAGAGTAAACCTCTCTATTAAGGAAGATCACTGTGGTAGCCATACCAGAGGCTGAGCTGCTGGCAGTGAGACTGGAGGGCGGAAAGGCCAAGTGAACTACAGCAGGGAGAGACATGCTGGGCTCAGTACCTTAAGCCTCCTCTATGATAATTCCCTGTCGGGGCCAAACTTTCCATTCTCTGGGCCCCCAATCCAACTCTCCTTGCAGGCCTGCTCTACAGGCTACTCATTTTGTGGAGTCTCCCACACGACTGTCTTTAATGATACGACCCTAGAGAGGAGTAATGCTAATCATTATATTTACTCCATGCCAGGCACTGCTGGGTCAGGCACTATGCTGGGTCCTTTACACAAATTACCTCAGTTGTGCAACCAACAGCCCTGGAAGGGAGGTTACTATCGGTAGCCTCGTTTTGCAAAGGATCTGAACCGACTTCTACCTGGCGGCAGACACCGCTCGGTTCACCCCTGCCAAGGAGAGTGGGAGGGATGAGTCCCGTGTCCCGGGCTTCTACAAGGACCGCCGCGAAAACAGTGGGTGGAAAATAATGGTGGGTCCCCTAGCCACAACCGCCGAAGAGAGGCTGGAAGTGGGAAGCCTGAGCCCAAAGGAATCAGGACAGCCCCTGCCCTCGGAAGCCTTCAGCTGCGAGGAGAGAAACGAGGGCACGGACCTGACAGCTCCAACTGAAAAGGCAGAAAAAGCCCCCAACGGAGCCGAGGCCGCAGCGAAGGGGCGGGGCTCGGACGCGGAGACCACTCCGGGGGCGGGGCTTGCACGGGGGTGGGGCTCTGTGGGCCCGACCAAGTCTAGGACCTGCGGGACCCCGTGAGGGGGCGGGTCGCGAGAGGGCGGGGCTCCGAGAGGGGCGGAGCCACAGCTGTGCTTGCGACCCACAGACTCGTTAGGTTACCTCCCCACGACTGGACCCGACCGTCCTTCCATACCCTGGCTCCAGCAGGGCGGATCCGGGATCTCGATGGTGTAGTCCAGCTCAGCCGAAGCCATGGTGAAGGCGCCAGCCCTCAGCACGGGCCTCCGCCGGAACTCCCGCTCGCGCGCCCGCGCCTCACCCAGGAGCTTCCCGGGCGCCGCCCAATCACCACCCACCTCTCCCGTCGCTGCCCAATCCCTGAGCGGCGCTCTGTGACCTCCCGTCCTAGCAACCGCCGAGTCTCTCTCGGAGCCTCTCGCGGCACCCCACGGCTCGGCCCTAGCAACCATGCCCCGCCCCGTTCTAGCCCTGCTCCGCAGGCACTGGCTGACTCGCGTGATCTGGGTCAGGTATTGGTCAACCAGGACGCCGGTCGGGAAGAGTCCCCACCCTCCCGTGTAGGTAAGAGGGTCTGCGGGAGATTTGCGGTATTCTGGAAACGGGAAGGTCTCCCTTTCCCACCGTGTCTTATCCTACGGGGTGGACGGCAGTGCCCTTTGATTTACATCATCTCCTACCTCTGCCATCCTTTACCAGACGCAGCTCCGAGGGCTGGAGGTAGAAAAACGTACAAAACGGCCTAGGGGACGCGTGCCAGCCCATCCTCCATCCAGTGGGTTGAGGCACATTCTTGGCTGGTGGGGTGAGTGGCAGGCAAGGGAATGGTGTCTTCAGGGGAAGACTCTAGAGAATGTTCTGTTCGTGGGGGACACAAAGGGGCTAGAGAATACAGTTTTCTTGCATTTATCCATGTATTTAACAAATACTTACTAAGCACCTATTATGTAGGTGAGAGCCAGTGAAGATTAAGCTTTTGGCCATGACTTTACGTAAGTCTTAAAAGGAGAGGGAGAGAAACCATGCATTAACCAACTCTAATTCTGTGCGAGGGATAAATACTACAGAAGAATAGGCCGTAAGCATTTTAGGGGCTCAGAAAGTGTTGAAGGGTTTCATTTATGACAATGGGGATGTGTCTTGAGCTGGGCCTTGAAAGACTTACGGGGATATGGAGGACAAAGAACTCCTTGCAGGAGCTCAACGAGGGGAAACTGAGGGATGAGTGCCAGAAATTTTGAGTGTCTTCTGGTCAGAGGAGATACTAATGTGAGAGTAAACGTGGAAGAAAAGTTAGGCCCAGACCCTGGAGGGTCTTTGATGTCACACTCAGCTTTGAGTCTATAGGTAGATGGTAAAAATTTTCCAGTGTGTTTTATACCTATAAGCGCAAGAGCTCAGACTTTATCCTGAAGACAGTGGGGAGTCATGGAAGGGCTTTAAGCAAAGGAATAAAGATCAGATTTGCATTTTAGAAAGATCAGTGCAGAGAATGGATTGGGGATTGGGAGAAGGAGGGAGACTAGTTAAGTTGTTTCAGTAATGGGGAAAGGGTATGGTGGCCTAAAGAATGGAGAAGTAGCAGGAATGAAGAGGAGGGGATGTATTCCTTAGATACTTGTGAGCTAAAAAGAACTGGACTTAGTGCCTGGTGGGGCAAGTAGGAGAAATGAAGAATGACTTCTAAATTCCTGGCTTGAGCAAACAGAAAGAAGAGGTAGCAGGGTTTTTAGGAGAGAGTAAGTTCTGGCTCTGATGAGTTTGAGATGCCAGTGGGACATCCACGTGGAAGTGTCCAGGAGGTTGGAATATGCCTGACTGGAGCTTGCAAGATAAGCCTAAACTGGAAATAAAAATGCGGTGGTCTGTAGTGCCTTATATACATCAGCCACACCAGTGGATGGATTTGTTGGGCTTCCCAGAGAGTATAAATAGGAGTCAGAAGAGAAGAAGGGCCTAGGACAGAGCCCTGAGAAGCTCCCAAGTCTGAGGGTCTGCAAAGGAGGATGAACCTGCAAAGTTAATTGAGATGAAGTGTCCAGAATGGTAAGATAGTCAGTGGTAGAATGTGTTGTTTCAGAAGTCATGGCACGAAAGTGTTGAAGGCTGATGACTAATCAAGTAGAATAAGGTCTGAAAAAAATCCAGTGGATTTAGAAACAAGGAAGTTGCTGGTGACCTTTGCAAGTACGGTTTCCGTGGAGCGATGGGAACAGAGGTCAAATTACAGTGAGTTGAGAAGCAGGTGCTAGGTGAGGAAGTGAAGACTGTACAATACACTTTCGAGACGTTTGGCTCTTTCCGAGAAAAAAGAAGGCAATAGCTGGAAGGAGACAAAGGTTTTTATTCAGATGAGAGAAGTGCTGTTGGCATGGCCCCAGCAAAAGGAAAAAAAGATAAAAATGACAGAGAAAAGGAAATAACAGAGAGTAGCACCCCTGGAAAAGGAATAAGGTCAGAGATCCAAAGCATTGGTGGAGAAATTCACCTAGAAAAGTGGAGGGACACTCGCATTGTGACAACAAGGAAGCATGTGAGATCTGTATATTAGTAGGTTTGGTGGCAGGAAGTTGAGGAAGTTCTTGTTTGGTGGTTTCTGTTTTCTCTGTGAAATGCATGATGTCAGCCAGGGAGAAATGGGATTGGAGATGGTGTGCAAGGTCTGAGAAGAGCAGAGAAGGATTGAACTAGCCTCAGTGAGTGAAGAATGGGAGCAGGATGACTGAGGCAGTGTACAGATTTCTGGGCAGTTATGAGGTTGGTGACCATTCACTGTAGCAGCAGCGATCTGCCTGGTTGTGTGGGAGCTATCTTTCCCCCAGCAGTATTCAGGCATCTAGTGGTGGGTGCAGAGAGCTTAGATGAATCTATCCAGGTTTGAGTTTCATCAGGCGGATGAAATGGAAGGACAGAGGACAAGGAAGTGGGTGATCCTGGCAAAAGGTTGAGATGATGGAGCTTAGAACCTAAACTGCCTAAGAGGGTGTAAAAGTGTTATGGACTGGGGGTCCCAGTGAAGTTAGAGAACATAGATCTTGGAAAGAGTTGAATGAGAGAGGTGTGATCAGAAAGTGGAATAATGAAGCGTGAGTAGTTCCAGGTGATGACAAGGTCCAGGGTGTAGCCATGGGAATGGGTGGCTGGAGTGAAATACAGAAGACAGTCAAGATGTTGACATGGCCAGCCCCCCCCCCCAGATGATGACAGGACTTGAGGAGGGAAAAGGATGCTTGTGAGCTAGATACCAAAGTCCTGGATGAATTAAGTACATTGTTCTGGAGTCTGTAGGCAAGGACATGAATATGAGGAAGGGTAATAGTCAATACAGCAGAGTGGCATGACCCTCAAAGTAGTAAGAGTTTTTACAGGAAAGAGGTGGAATAAGGAACTGTGTTGGGCTTTGGTGAGCAGACACTAGCCCCCCCCCCCGCCCCCCGCCAATCCTGAGATCTTTGGAGTATAAGATATAAGCAGCCTCCACCAGGGAGGGCTCTGCAGAAGTAGCACCTGGGGTAGAGCCAGCTTCAGGGGCAGGCTGAGGGGAGGCTGAGCAGCTGCGGAGAAGCTAAGGGTGGAGGAGAATGCTGATTGGGAACAAAGGCCTTTGAGGGCAGAGTAAGAAGGGGTAGGAAATCAGGTCAGGGGAGGTGAAGCACAGAGCAGTGCAGGGGTGAGGAGAACATGTGTAGAAAGATGATGGTTGACCTAGACAGTTAACGTTTTGTGGGGGAGAGCGTGAGGGCAGGTCTGTGGAGTGGAGTTGGGGGCAGAACTGATCTGAGAGGAAAAACGGGGTCTGGTAGAGAGTGAGAGTAGGTCTGGGGAGAGGATGAAGGCAGAGGGCTTTGTAGGAGGAAGGTGGGAGGGGAGAAAGGTGGTCTCTGGGGAGAGGATGGAGGGAAAGGCAACTGTGAGGAAAAGATGGGGCACCTAGAGTCCGTAGGGAAGTGACGGGTGGTTGGAAGGATCTGTGAAGAGGGTATGAGGGGGGGAGCAGAAAGGAAGGGAATCTATGAGGAGGAAGTGACCAATTGTAGCACATATGCCCTGAGGTAGAAGTAAAGGCCAGGACAGTCTCTGGCTGGGCCTGAGGTCAGGAGGAGAATGTTTCTTTCTCTGTCTCTCTTCTCCTTCCCTCTCTCTTTCCAAATGGGGAGCTGAGAGGATGGAGCCCAAAGAGAAGGCCTCTGTCCCATTCTGCAGGTGGAGCCTGCAGGAATAGGGGACAGTGACGCCTTGTCTCCGAGGCCATCTGGGGACAGGGAGCCAGACTGGCAGCCCGTGCCCTGGAGGCTTCTTGCTTTGAGAAGTGTGTCTTTGATTTAGGGGGAGAAATTTTATTTAGAAACAAGACCAAGTGACCTTTTGGTTTTTAATACCTCTTCCCACTTGTCACTAAGGACTTTTGACTTTAGTACAATAGCTGGGGTTTTTGAGGTTTTGTGATTTTAGTTTCTGTGCATGAGGAAGAACCATTTGTCTGCTATAGAAATGATTTATGGATGAGTCCAGATTTATTCATCACCTCTAAAAATGGAGAGGAAATTAAAAACAAAGAGTCTACTCCGGGCGGAAGACAAAGTAGGTTTGTCGTCCTTGCAGAAGACTTTGCCAAGGTGAAAAGGCCACAAACAAACCAATTTGGACCACGGTTCCTAATCTGGATTTTAATTTCATATGCTCTGATTTTTCAGACCATTTTCTCTCCAAGGTAAAATAATGACCATTTTAATTGGCTGCCACTTACAGAGAGATTCCAACAAGCATGATGGCATACATATATTTTTCTCTGGCATTCCACGTGTGCTCCAGTTCTTATGATCAAGCTGGTGAGGCTGACTTTTACTGCATGCTGCATGCCATGATCAGTTGACTATAAATTAAATCCTCTTTTCCAAAAGCCATTTTCCATTAGTGCTAATTTGTTTGCTTCTCATTTCCACTGATCATTAGAGTCTCTGGTTGTGAGCACCAAATTGGAAATAATTTCCTTGACATTTCAAAAAAATCTCTCCCCTTCTTGAATGCCATTTGGCTGCAGCTAAAGAACATTATGGTTTGCAGAGGAACAGTTCACTCCAATTACAATTTAACTGACCGTTCATGGCACCGAATCCCTGTCCTTAGTGTCCAGAGATGACACCATCGCTGACATTGCTAGTTCCTGTCATAGCTGTAAAATGCCTCATAGACTTTGCACTGGCCTTGGATGGAGATTCTGCCACTCTGCACATGGCAGCTTTGGGAAGTTGGTAGTTTTATGGACCTGCATATCATGGACATTCAGATATAACCATCCAAACAGGAGCTGGCTGATTCCTTCATCCATTCACCCAGGAAGCATTTATTAAACACCTATTTGGTGCCAGGCATTATGCCAGATCCTGGGGACGCAAAGATAGGGAAGACCAACCCTTGCCCTTGAGGGACTCACACTCCAGTGGGATGGAGGGTTATGTTTTACGCAGAGTAGGGGAAGAGGTGGCATAGGTGGGACCACAGAACCGACAGCCCCTCGTTGTCTCGGGGAATTAACCAAAGGGCAAAAAGGAAGCTGGCCATTCTTGATGGCAGAGCAACACTGAGATGCAGAGGACCCTGGAAGGGCCCTGGGAAGTTGAGAAGTGAGATGCGGTTAGCCTGGGGCCAAGTTTGAAGGGCCTTGCATGCCACACGGTGTTTAGACTATCCCGTAGGCCAGTGGGAGAAATGTGATGGTGAAGAAGGGAGGAAGGATAGAAGCTTGAGGGAAAGGCAGTCAAGGAAGGCGTTATTGGTGTATTGATTTTGGTTGATGAAGATTGAGCAGGTGTTTAAGGGGGGTCAGAAAGATGGAAAGATTGACGATGGAGGGGCAGACTCTCGCGTATGTGGAAGGGTAGAGAAGGGAGGTGCACCTGATGGGCCCTATTTTCTCTGTGCGGTAGGAAGCCTCCGTCAGCTGGGCATCCTTGAATCCTCCCCACTTTCATCCTCCACTGCCAGTCCCCAGGTCCTGCTGCTTCTCCCTTCTCCAGAAACGTGTGGCATTTCTGCTTCTCTCCAGCCCTACTGTCACCAGCAGCTTTTGCCAAGATTAGGGGAGCAGCCTCCTAACTGGTGCCCCACTTCCAGTCTTGCCCCCTTACGATCATCTTTCTACACTGCAGTCAAGAGGAGTCAAGAGGATGTTTCTAGAACAAACTCTCTTGTCACCCTTGACTTAAAACCCTTCGGTACCTTCCCATGGCCCTGGGGATCACATGCAGACCCAGAAGCACAGCACACACAGCACACACATTCTTTGGCCTCTGCCTGTTGTCACAGTTTTATCCTCAGACTGTGCTCCAGCCATTCTGAACAATCTCAGCCATGAAAACAGGAGCTAAGCTTTATGTGAGGTTGTCTGTTGACTCTGTGAGGTATCATCACCTCTTCTCAGGTAAGAGAACTGAAGCCTAGAGAGGTTAAGTACTTTGCGTAAGGTCACCCAGCCGGGAGGTGGAAGATCATGGAGCTGTGGTGTCTGGGTTCCTAACCACGGCCCTGCACTGCCTCCCGCTTGCAATTCTTTAAATATGCCTTACAATCTCTCATCTGTCAGCCTTTGCATACTTTATTTCCTCTACCTGAAAGACGATTTCATCACCTCTTCACCTGGCTGGCTATAGATCACCGTTCAGCCTGGGTGGCATCTCTTCTGGAATGCCTTCCAGAACAGCCACTACCCCATTACCCCAGCCCCGGCTGGGTTAGATGTCCCTTGCTCACATTCCCAAAGTGTCCTGTGCTTACCCCCATCATAGCACTTAGCACACTGCTGAAACTGAAGTTGCTTATCTAGAGGGCTCCATGCCACCCCCAAACTGTGTCTTTTTCACATGTATCCCTAGAGGCCTAGCATGATGGGACATACTTGTCTGCCGCTATTTGTTGAATTTCATTTAATGGAATTGCTGACAGTGAGACTGGAGGTCAGGCAGAGAGACTCCTAATCGTGTGTGAGGTTACTGAGGCCTTCCTGCAATGCGACAGGCACTGGACGCCCATGATGGGGTGGAGGGAGGCAACGCCGGAGACGCAGGCCGGCCCAGAGAAGAGGTCATGGTGCAGAGGCCTCAGGGAAGCAAGCATTCTGAGCAGGAGGAATGGTCAGTGGTGTTAGTTGTCGCAACAAAAGGACAAGAGAGCAAAAGACTGAACTGTCCTCACTGAACTGCGCAATGAGGTTAGAGACGCTGGGTAAAGTGATGGGAATGGAGTGTGGGGGATGGGTGGCAGGGGAGGGAAAAGCCAAATCGCAGTGGGTTGAGAAGAGAATGGTCAGTGAGAGAACAGAAGGTTTTTAAGAAGCTTTGCTATGGGGCGCCTGGGTGGCTCAGTTGGCTAAGCGACTGCCTTCGGCTCAGGTCATGATCCCGGAGTCCTGGGATCAAGTCCCACATTGGGCTCCCGGCTCAGCAGGGAGCCTGCTTCTCCCTCTGACCTTCTCCCCTCTCATGCTGTTTCTCTCTCTCTCTCCCTCTCTCAAATAAATAAATAAGATCTTAAAAAAAAAAAAAGAAGAAGAAGAAGCTTTGCTATGAAGTGAGAAAACCAGAGAGGTGACTGGAGAGGGACCTGGGGTTGAGGTAAATGGGTTTTGCTTGTTTTTGTTTTAGGCTAAGCAAGAATTAAGTACCTTAACAAGGAAAATGCCTAAATAAAGAGAGCAGTTGAGGATACAGAGGAGGGAGCTTTGGATGGAGTGAGGGCCCTCAGGAGGCAGGATGGACAGATAGGGAGCCCTGGGAAGGGGGAAGGAAGACAGGAGGACAGGTGTGAGTACAGATCACATGGGAAGAATGAAGAGGACTGTGAGGACATTCTTGCCTCATGGCTTTTTGTTAAACCCAAGAGTGGATGGAAGGGTAAGGAGCTGGGGATTGCAGACATCACAGGCGAGTCACAGCGTTTAGCATGTAGCTCGTGAGTGTGAATGCTGGGTTGGTTGGCAGTGCAGGTTCAAGATCACTGGAGTCTTGATTTTGTGCCTCTCCTACCCGCTCCAACACATCCTGGGATTTACCCCATCAGAGCACTTTTCACTTTTCATTAAAATCACCAGGTTGCCGTTTTCCCCACCCACCACTCTCTAAGCACCTTGAGGGCAAAGACTATGTTTGTCATGTTAACCAGTCCCACTAGCAGTGCTTGGCTAGGAGTCAGCACCCAGGACATCTGTTTAATTAATTACTGTGTGAAGTTAAGGAAATTAAAGTGTTCATTATGAACACACTGCGTCGGATATGAGTCTAAATGACACTCGCTGAGCGCCCGAGATGTGCCAGGGACGATGCTGGCCACCCCCATTGGGAAGATGGAATATGTTGATGTTGACGCTGCCCAGCGTGCTTGGGTGAACAGGAAGACAGTTGCCCAAGCGAGCGTGAGCCTGAGGGAGTGGCCCGTAAATGAGCACCAAGGCAGGCAGAGGGGGAAGGACAGGAGGCTTGAGCTAGAGGAAAAGAAATGATTTGCTATGGGGAATTTAGAAACCGGTTTGTGAAACCTGGGGAAGGTGGCAGCCTCCTCTAATTCCCATTGGAAGCAGTGACAAGGGGTGCGGGGGAGGGGGAGGAGGGGGCGGGGAGGGAGGTCAGATTTCAGTTGTGGCAGAATTTAAACAGGAAGTTCTCTGGGCTGAGATGTTTGAAACTCTATCTTGAGGGTAATAAGGAACAATTGAAGAGTTTGAAGCAGGGAAATCTGTCAAATTTGCATTTTTTAAAGCTTTTTTTTAATATTTTATTTATTTATTCATGAGAGACAGAGGGAGAGAGAGAGAGAAGCAGAGGGAGAAGCAGGCTCCCAAGGAGCAGGGAGCCCAATGCGGGACTCGATCCCAGGACCCTGGGATCATGACCTGAGCCGAAGGCAGACGCTTAACCATCTGAGCCACCCAGGCACCCAAATTTGCATGTTTTAAAGATTTATTTATTTGAGAACACACACATAGGCACGCACAAACATGGGGGAGGGGCAGAGGCAGAAGGAGAGAGAATCTCCAGCAGACTCGCCACTGAGCACAGAGCCCAACGCAGGGCTTGATCCCAGGATCCTGAGATCATGACCTGAGCCGAAATCAAGAGTGGCACGTTTAACCAACTGAGCCACCCAGGCGCCCCTAGGGCCTTAGGGTTTGAAGAGAGTGTGAAATGTAAGGATGAAGACTTGCACGAGTCCTTTAGAGAGAGGCATCTGGACCTCAGGAGGAAGGCCCAGGCTGACAACATGGGTTTGGGAGTCCCAAAGCCCACACTGTAATACAAAGTGATGGGAGTGAAGGAGATTACAAAGCATGAGAAGACAACTGAGAACAGAACGGAGCTACAGAGGAGCCTGAGGAGGATCCAGTGAGGGGCAGAACCGAGAGAGAGTGAGGTCAGGAAAGAAATGTTCAGAGAATCACCCACAGTCCATCAGAGGCCAAGCAAGATGGACTGCAAGTTAGCCACAGAATTTGACAAGAGGTTATTGGTGACATTTTGGAACACAGGGGAAAGTAGAATCAGTGCTTTGGGTTTATGGCGAGAACCTGGACTCTGGAGTTTTACACAATCTGAGAGTCGTTTCTGTTTCCACCCTTGTTTAGCTGTGAGACCTTCAATAAATAAGCAAACCTCTCTAAACCTTAGTTTTTACATCTGAAAACTGGGGATAATAATAACTACCTCCTCAGGAACTTAAGAAGATTAAAACAAATAATGTCCATAAAATATATTCTATGTGACTAGCTCTTATAAACACTAAAAAATGTTAGTTTCTTCTCCCTGCCATCAATCCATCTCTCCTCCCTGCACCATGAAAGACACAGAATGTATCTCCTTATATTTGGTTGTCAAGGAGAAGCTCAGATACAGAATTTATCCCAGCAACTCCCTCCTGAAATTGGTACATTTCTCTCCTTTTCCCACTGTTTTCTTCTTCTTCATTCTTTTTAAAATTGTACTTACTGGTTGTTTGGTTTTGGGTTTTTTTTTTTTAGCGGGAGGGTGGTTTGTAATCCTCATCAGGTCCTGTTTTGTGGATGAAAGACCTAAATGTGAGACAGGAATCCATCAAAATCCTAGAGAACACAGGCAGCAACCTCTTTGACCTCGGCAGTAGCAACTTCTTGCTAGACACGTCTCCAAAAGCAAGGGAAACAAAGGCAAAAATGAACTATTGGGACTTCAAGATAAAAAGCTTTTGCACAACAAAGGAAGCAGTCGACAAAACCAAAAGACAACCGACAGAATGGGAGAAGATATTTGCAGATGTCTTATCAGATAAAGGGCTAGTATCCAAAATCTATAAAGAACTTACCAAATTCAACACCCAAAGAACAAATAATCCGGTCAAGAAATGGGCAGAAGACATAAACAGACATTTCTCCAAAGAAGACATACAAATGGCCAACAGACACATGAAAAAATGTTCAACATCACTTATCAGGGAAATACAAATCAAAACCACAATGAGATACCACCTCACACCAGTCGATCAGAATGGCTAAAACTAACAAGTCAGGAAACAACAGAGGTTGGTAAGGATGTGGAGAAGGAACACTCTTACGCTCTTGGTGGGAATGCAAGCTGGTACAGCCACTCTGGAAAACAGTATGGAGCTTCCTCAAAAAGTTAAAAATAGAGCTACCTTACAGCCCAGCAATTAAACTACTAGGTATTTACCCCAAAGTTATAAATGTAGTGATCCGAAGGGGCACCTGCACCCCCAATGTTTATAGCAGCAATGTCCACAATAGCCGAACTATGGAAAGAGCCCAGATGTCCATCGACAGATGAATGGATAAAGAAGATGTGGTATATATATACAATGGAATATTACTCAACCGTCAAAAAAATGAAATCTTGCCATTTGCAACGATGTGGATGGAACTAGAGGGTATTATGCTAAGCGAAGTAAGTCAATCGGAGAAAGACAATTATATGATTTCACTCATGTAGAATTTAAAAAACAAAACAAAGGAGCATAGGGGAAGGGAAGGAAAAATAAAACAAGACAAAATCAGAGAGGGAGACAAAGCATAAGAGACTTTTAACTGTAGGAAACAAACTGAGGGTTGCTGGAGGGGAGGGGGGTTGGGAGATGGGGCAATTGGGTGCGGGCATTAAGGAGAGCACATGATGTAATGAGCACTGGGTTTTTTTTTTTTGTTTTTTTTTTATTTATTTATTTGAGAGAGAGAATGAGATAGAGCATGAGAGGGGAGAGGGTCAGAGGGAGAAGCAGACTCCCCGCTGAGCAGGGAGCCCGATGCGGGACTCGATCCCGGGACTCCAGGATCATGACCTGAGCCGAAGGCAGTCGCTTAACCAACTGAGCCACCCAGGCGCCCTAGCACTGGGTTTTTATATACAACTGATGAATCACTGAACTCTACCTCTGAAACCTAATACAATATACATTAATTAAATTTAAATAAAATAATTTTTTTTAATTTTTTATTATTTTGAAGAAAAGATAAAAATAAATAAGGGGCTGGAGATTCTTGATTAAACATAACTGTAGTCCTTATCTCTCCTACCTCTCCAAACCTCCCTGACATAACACTAAAGAAATATAGAAAGGCGGGACGCCTGGGTGGCTCAGTTAGTTAAGCCTCCAACTCTTGGTTTCTGCTCAGGTCGTGATCTCAGGGTCGTGAGATTAAGCCCCATGTCGGGCTTAAGTTTCTCTCTCCCTCTCTGCCCCTCTTCCCCTCTAAAACATAAATAAAATCTTAGAAAAATAAAGAAATATAGGGGCACCTGGGTATCTCAGTCGGTTACGCATCTGCCTTTGGCTCAGGTCATGATCCCAGGGTTCTGCTTCTCCCTCTCCCCTCTCCCCACTTGTGCTCTCTCTCTCTCAAATAAATCTTTAAAAAAAAAAAATATAGAAAGGTATTAAGTCACAAAAGTTCAGGGAAAGAGGCAACAGCAGATGAAAGCTGGACAAATACTTAGGGAGTAGAAGGCAGGTGGGGGAATGTTACCTGGCTTGAAACATCCTAAGAAATTACAAACTTAGTGCCAAAGAGGAGATTACCAGCAAGAAGCAAGTCAGTTCACCCAGTTTAACCTCTAAAAAGCTTAGTGCCTTTAGACATGAGGTAAGGGGCTAAACACAGGGGGACTGGCTGAAGTCTGTATGCAGAGCACTTTGCCCCCACCCCAGAGCTTCTTTCTCAAAAGCCACATGCCCACTCTAAACTCTCGTGCTGCATAAGGAGAAAGGAAATTGAATTCTGGAGGCCTTCATACTCAGAGACCTCAGGCATAATTTGAAGGGCAGGAATGAGAAATAGGGTGGAAAACTGAGTGGTGGTGGGAAAGCCTACACACTGCCCCAGCCCCTCTCGCACCTCCACTCCCAGAATGCCAGATGCTAGGCATCTAGCACCCCTCACCCTCTCACCACACCCCACCCCCGGAAAGTAGAGAAGTCCAGAAGACCCCCAGGAGGCAGGAAAAGCCCTCCATTGACTGACATTTATGTGTTCTTCAATGAAAAGACTAGTCATTGCCTGATAAAGAAATTTCCAAAACCCAAAGGACACAGCACCTCAAAAGACCCACCAAGGGCCTAGAATGCTAAGTGAAAAAGACCTGCAACAAGACATACCATCCTACCATTTCAGAAAAGTGTTTAAAAGCATCAAGAATGAAAAAACAAGCCACAGTCCACAGCACACAAATCAGAATGACATCAAACTTAACCAGCAACACTGGGGAGGCTCAATCTGAGGGAAGTTTATTCCTAACATGGAATTATATACCCAACCGATATAACACAAGGTCAACACACTCTGAGACTTTCAAGGATACACACAAAAAAAGTAATTTTCATTTTGGGGCACCTGGGTGGCTCAGTCGTTAAGCATCTGCCTTCGGCTCAGGCCATGATCCCAGGGTGCTGGGATCGAGTCCCACATCGGGCTCCCTGCTTGGCGGGAAGACTGCTTCTCCCTCTCCCAATCCCCCTAACTTGTGTTCCCTCTCTCGCTGTGTCTGTCTGTGAAATAAATAAATAAAATCTTAAAAAAAAAAAAAAAGTAGGGGCGCCTGGGTGGCTCAGTCGTTAAGCGTCTGCCTTCAGCTCAGGTCATGATCCCGGGGTCCTGGGATCGAGCCCTGCATCGGGCTCCCTGCTCGGCAGGGAGTCTGCTTCTCCCTCTCCCTCTCCCTCTGCTTGTGTTCCTGTGTCTCTCTCTGTCAAATAAATAAAATTTAAAAAAAAAAGTAATTTTCATTTCTTAGGAAACTACTGAGGAATGTGCTTCGACAAAACAAGAGAGCAAACCAAAAAGGAGGAAGAGCTAGGTCCAGGAAATGGGACAGTTAGCAGAGAAAATCCCAAAAGGAAATCCCAGAGAAAATCCCAAAAGGAAATCCCAGGACAGCATTTGTGTGCTAGGCTTAGTAAGGAACAAGTCCCAACTGGAGCGGAAAGACCAAGTCTATGGGAAAGACGTTGCCAGGGAAAAGATGGAACTGATCAGTTAGGGGTTGAACATTTGGAAAAATTGCTATGTGTTTGGAACATTTGGAAGAAAATAGCTCTAGGTACTCCGAAATCTAAACAATTGAAAAAAGAAACAATGATTCACCCAGGTAAAACCCAACTTGTAAGAGAAAAAAATGTAATAGTAGTTTACAGCTTGAGTGAACAGTGTTTGTCTACCTGGTCAATAATGTAAAGACTGACTATTGATTTAACTATAAATTGTGGAAAACTGTATTGTGAAGATAAGGGGAGAAAAAAATGGAAGTGTGCCTGGTACGAGAAGTTAATTACTCAAGTGCCAGAGTAAGAAAGAAATACTGCCTAAAACAGATTAAGTAAGGGTAATGTCTGAGTTTGCTGGGGCTGCCAACAAAGCACGACAAACTCGGGGGGAGTGGGGCTTAAACAACAGAAACTGGTTATCTTGGGGTCTGGAGGTTCTGATCAAGCTGTCTGAGATCAAGGGATTGCAGGATTGGTTTCTTCTGAGGCCTCTCTCCTTGGCTCCCAGTCTGACTCCAGATCTCATGTTCTTCCCCTGTACCACAAGATCGGGGGCTCCTCCAGGGCCCCAGCAGTGCCTCATCCCCCCATCTCCCACAGCACCTCACACAGTGCCATGTGACGGGCCTGCACTGCATGGTCAGCTGCATCACTGTGACTTCTAATGCTGCCATCTGTGGTTTCCTTTTCCGTGAAGAAAAGAGTAAGATAGGGAAGATCCAAAGAAACCTCAGGGGCCGTAATGGGGAGCGCCCAGCTGGAAGTTTCCCACCCTCCATGTCCTAGCATTGCTGGGCACATCTCTGATGGCACTTTTTTTTAAAAGGTTTTATTTATTTGACAGAGAGAGACACAGCTACAGATGGAATACAAGCAGGGGAGTGGAGGAGGGGGAAGCAGGCTCCCCGCGGAGCAGGGAGCCGGATGTGGGGCTCGATCCCAGGACCCTGGGATCATGACCTGAGCCGAAGGCAGATGCTTAATGACTGAGCCACCCAGGTGCCCCTCTGATGGCACTTTAAATTTTGATCCTAGAAAGGGTCCACCCACGGCAGCGGCAGGGGGGCGGGGGTTTGAGGGTGGGGACAGCTGGGTGGGCACAGGGTACGTTCCTGCCTTATAAAGCTAACCGTGGTGTTTCAACTCCTCTTCCCTTGGGTCCAGAACAGCCACTCATCCCCATTTTCTTGAGGCCGGTTTGGCTGTTGAAGGTGGCCATGGCCTCTGAAAGTTATTCTCAGACTTAGGGCTATAATATCATTCACAGTGATTGATGTCTGATCCTATGAGAGATTTTGGTCATTTTTGTGTTTAGGTTGATCCACAGTCATTCACCTGGCTGTTAAGGCTGACAGGATTTCGTGGTTGTCTCCATCCCCAAGGCTCCGTGGACGCCCTTCCCGGGAGCACATATCCAGTGTCCTCTGGGGAGTAGTGGAGGTTGGTGTGTATGTATGTCTGTCTCCGTGTGCCTCAGATTATTGCTTCCTAATAAAATTCTGTTAGCTGGGCCCCATCAATATCTCAAATACATGTGAGGAAACGTTAATTTAGAATCAATTTTAGGATGTTTCAGACTGTAAAGTCCTTTTAACTAGATCTCTGGCGAAGATGTAGAAGCACTTTATGGGACTGTAAATTTCATGTTGAACAGTCTTCGTGAAATACACATCTCCCCTACACACAAGCTGTTCTCTCCATATCAATCATGGCCCCTGCAAGTAATGTTTCACAAATATTCTGTAAATCACAGAAAACCCCATGATAATGTGAAATATGACTTTCACTTGTCTGTTAGACAAAAGAATCACACATGCCTCTCTCCCATCAGCACTAACATTTGTTATGGATAATAACACTTTCAATCACAACTATTTTTGGAAAACGGGTTTATTTTAAACCTTCCCTCCCCCACTGAAAACACTCTCCCAAGGACACAGACTCCTACAAACCACAGCCCATTAATCCAACTACGGAATGGAAACTTTTTCTTCTTACTAACTTTTTTTTTTTTAAAGTTGTTTTTAAGAGAGTTAGTATAAAAGCCCAAGGTACAAGGTTAAGGAGCATTTTTCCTTAGCTGATTGGTATGAGAAGGGCCAGGTCTCTAAAGACCCCCACATTTCTGGCCCTGTGTGAAGTGAGGGGTGAAAGGGACCCAGGTTTTTAGCAAGCACCTTCATCTCAGCTGGTCCTTTAGTTGCTGGCAGCAGGGGATCCAAGGAGTTAAAACGTTAACTCTTAAACATGAAGTCGACATTGACCACCTTGATATTCTTCATGCCATTACAACACAGCTAAATCCTCCCTGTTCAAGTAGGAGATGATCTGTTCTAGAGGTGTTCTAGAGGTGTATTTTGAATGCCACAACATCTGCATGGGTGACAGAGGCTCGCTCTGCCTCCAGCCGATTGCTGGAAAAGCAAAACCCATAGAGTAACCTACGGGACTTCCATGGTTCTAAATATTTTGGTAACCTGTCTGTTTTCCCTCCCTCTGTAGCCAACTTCAGGACTGACTGACCATGACTTCCATAAAGGAGCAAGCAGCAATTAGCCGGCTCTTGAGTTTTTTACAGGATTGGGACAACGGCGGCAAAGTCGCAAGGAGTCACATCCTCGACAATTTCATCAAGACCAACCAAGGCAAGACCTCTCCTGAACTGGAGCAGGAGTTTTCCCAGGGAGCCAGCTTGTTCCTGGTACGCTTGACCACCTGGCTTAGACTCATGTATCCTTTGCCAAACAGAAATAAATTGGGCAATCTTCAAAGGAGAAAAGGAATGGAGATTATTGGGAGAGCTCTTCTCTTGAGTCTCCCTAAAATTGTAGATCAGGAAATCTGGTGATCAGAGTAGCATCCAAAAAGTCAACAACTAACCCCCTTCCTGTCTTCCCAACCTGCACATGTACCCTCATTCTCACCCCTAACCTCTTCTGCTCCCATCAGATTTGGTGTGGATATTCCCTCTGTCTGGGGTTAATTCTCTCTCTCCTCAAGGACTTTATTCCTTCTCTCCGATGGCCTTCACTTTTGCCTCCTTACCAGCTTTTACATTTACATATGCTCAAATCTCTTCTACCTTAAGAAATTAGATTAAATCCCCATCTCAAACCAATATTCCACCTAGTTCCTACCCTTCGTGGTGAAGCTTCTTGAAAAGGTTATTGACTTTCCCTATCTACGCTTCTTCACCTCCCTTTCCTTCTCCGCCCACTGCAATCTGACTTCTGTCCCCTTTGCTGTGCAGGTCTTGCCAAGGTTACTGCTGTTGTTCTAATTGCAAAACCTAATGACTACATCCTTGGTCATTACACATGACCTCTCAGAGGCACTTGTCAACTATTACCACTTCTCAAAAAACTCTTCCCTGAAACTAACATAATGTTATATGTCAATTAAACTTCAATAAGAAGAAAGAAAGAAAAAGAAGAAAAAAGCGCATATAAGTCGTCACAAAAACAAAAAACCAGCCACTCTTCCCTTGGTTTCTGGGATACCAATTCTCTTGGTTTTCTCCTTTCTTTGTCTTTTCCTCATTTTTTTCAGCCATCCCTGAAATGTGGATATGTCTTGGGACTCCATCCACATCCCTCTCTCCCTCAGTGACCTAATCCATCGTCATGATGTCAGCACTACTCCAGGTTAAGGGTTCTCAGTTGTGTAACCCTGCCCACATTTCTCTCTGGAATCTGAGTTCCATACCTATAATCCAACTACCATCTCCACTTCTACCCCACAGAATGACTCTCACGTTTCTGGCTTGGGAAACTGGGTGAATGGCGTGCCATTATGTGGGAAGAGAATACAAGAAAAGGAGTTGGGTTAGTTAAGTCTGGTTTGGGACATGTTGTGTTTGAGGTACCCATGCTCAGGAGTCCTAGAGACAGATTGGGGTTGAAGACAGATGTGAAAGTTTGGGTTATGGGTGCATTTGAGGATATTCCTGCTCTGTGTGCTCACAGCATTCCATGGATCATCTCAGATCCTTTTTTTTTTTTTTAAGATTTTATTTTTTAGTAATCTCTACACCCAATGTGGGGCTCAAACTCACAACTCTGAGATCAAGAGTCACATGCTCCACTGACTAAGCCAGCCAGGCACCCCTCAGATCCTTTTATTATATATTTTTCTCCTTGCCTGAACCCTCTCCTCTCCTCCAAACCTACTTCTTATTTGACTAATTCTTACTCCATCATTCAGATCTCAGTCTAAACATCCCTTCCTCAGAAAGCCTTTTTCTGAGCCTAGGTTACCCTGTTACATATGCTCATGGCAGCCCCTCCATCTTGATCATTATAACATTGTATTGTTTGTACCTGCTTAATATTGGGGCACCTGGGTGTCTCAGTCAATTAAGCGTCTAACTCTTAATTTCAGCTCAGGTCATGATCTCAGCGTTCTAGATTGAGCCCTGTGTCGGGTTCCGGGCACTCAGCAGGGGTCTGCTTGGGATTTTTCTCTCTCCCTCTGCCCTCCCCCCACCCCCGCTTGCTCTGTGCACGCGCTTGTGCTCTCTCTCTCTCTCAAATAAATAAATCTTTTAAAAAAATATCTCAGGCACCTGGGTGGTGCAGTCGGTTAAGAGTCGGACTCTTGGGGGCGCCTGGGTGGCTCAGTCGTTAAGCATCTGCCTTCGGCTCAGGTCATGATCCCAGGGTCCTGGGATCGAGCCCCGCATCAGGCTCCCTGCTCAGCGGGAAGCCTGCTTCTCCCTCTCCCACTCCCCCTGCTTGTGTTCCCTCTCTCGCTGTGTCTCTCTCTGTCAAATAAATAAAATCTTAAAAAAAAAAAAAAAAAGAAGAGTCGGACTCTTGGTTTATTTAGGCTTAGGTCGTGATCTCAGCGTCGTGAGATGGAGTCCCACATCTGGCTCCACGCTCAGTGCAGTCTGCTTAAAATTTCTCTCTCCCTCTGCCCCTCCCCCCCCTCTCTCTCTCTCTCTCTCTGTCTCTCTGTCTCTCTCTCTCTCTCTCTCTCTCTCTCTCTCATAAATAAATAAATAAATCTTCAAAAAAAATCTCTCTTCCCCACTGGCTTATAGGCTCTGTGAGAGCAGGAATCACATCTGTTCTCCTCATCTCTGCATTCTTAATGCCTAGGACCGTGCCTGGCCCATAAGGGGCACGTTCTACATGCCTGCTCAGTAAAGGAAGGAGGGACGCAGAGTCTGCAGCTGGGCGGGACTAAAGGCTGCAGTAACCACAGCTCTCTTTTTCCTACAGTTACATCATCGATAAAATTTCTAATCAGACTCAGACCTGGAACAGGCCAAGGGGAATACCACTGATTATGTCTCTAGGTTGACCCCAATGTCCTCAGACATTAGAGTTCACACCAGAGGTTTAAATTGCAGATGAGCAGGGCGCCTGGGTGGCTCAGTTGGTTAAGCGACTGCCTTCAGCTCAGGTCATGATCCTGGAGTCCCGGGATCAAGTCCCACATCGGGCTCCCTGCTCAGCGGGGAGTCTGCTTCTCCCTCTGACCCTCTTCCCTCTCGTGCTCTCTATCTCTCATTCTCTCTCTCAAATAAATAAATAAAATCTTAAAAAAAATTATAAATTGCAGATAAGCAGCCTGCCTCCCCACCCCCACCCACGGCTCTGATTTAGTCGACTGAGGGAGGACTCCTGGCCTCTTTGTTTCTGATGAGCACCCTGGGGGACTCTGATGCCTGTGGGCCAAAGATGATACTTTGAGAATATCAGCACCTATAATTTGGCTTCCGCCAAAACCTGTGACACTAACCTCACCAAGGTATCAGCAACGCCTTGGTCGCCAAATCTAGACCACCTTTCGCCCGCCTCATCTTACTTACATCGCCTCCCCCCAGCCCCGGTCCTGCTTGACCACTGCCCCTTCCTACGCTGTCCTGTCCCCTACCTTCTCCCACGGCCGGTTCTTAGCCTCTGTGGCAGGATCTTTCCTCCCCACGCCTTACGTGGGAGTGTCCTCTTCTTGCTCAGTCATTGCACTTACTACCCTCGGCATTGTATCATTCTTCCGCATCTCCCAAGTGCCAGTCAGAGCGCCCTGCGTTCGTGAGACACTCACGGCACGCTTATTGAATGACTGAAAGAACCATGCTTTCAATATACAGTCATATGTTCAGTGTCTACACCTGACATTATGCATAGTTTCCTAACTTTTTGTGACCTTGTCATACGACAGAGAAAAGAGACCGGCTGAAGTGATGTAGTGTGTTAAATCAGTGGCCCCACGCCTCCTAGGCTGCCCGCTAGTTATGGTGGATTTGGAAGGAAAACAAATCAACATAGCATCATTATGTCTTGTAAAATTGACTACCACCTAATCTCACATTAGCCTCAAACCCCTTTTTTAACCTTGAACTTCCAGAAGAGACCAGTAAAACTAAGGATTTATATATTATAATGACAAAAGTATTAGTTACCATTTATTGAGTCTTTTTATGCTCTAGGCACTGAGCTATGTGTTATACAAATATTAACTCCTCTGAGCCGCTTATGAAGCCTAATAGGTGATTATCTTTAGGATATCTTTATTTAGGATAAAGCCTAAACGGCATTATCCTATTTTATAGATAAGAGAGATGAGCTTTGAAAAGGTTGAGTAATTTACTAGTGAATGGCAGAGATAAGGTCTGAAATGGGTCTGTCTGGCCCAAAGCCCATACACTATCCACTCTCCTTCAGGCCTCCCTCCCCTGGGACAGGGTGGACCCACAGTTCCACCTCCAACACCATCCCAGGAGATAATCTGCATAAGTAGCCCCACACCCTCCATCCATCTACAGGCGGGAAGGCCTGACCGGAAGAGCTCAGACTCTGAGCTAGACTGCTAGGTTCAAATCCCAGTTCCAGCAGTTAACTCTGGGACCTGGACAGGTCATTAACCTGTCTGAGATTGTTTCCTCAGGAAGTACATGGACATATTACTAGCAGCCACCCCAGGGTGTGGTGAGGATTAAATGAGACAAGGCAAGCAGAGCACCGCAGTGCCTAGTACTAGTTAGCACCTGCTGATATGGTGGCAAGCTTCCGGAACTAATTGCTGGAAATAATGGACCAGTATATGTGTAATGAGTGACTGTGAAAGCAAGACTAGCCTGGGACAGAGGAAAAGGAGGTGACAAAAGTTGGTGAGCCTGGCTGGCACCTGAGGAAAAGAGGGAGAAGGCAGGGAGGCAGGAACGGGGGCTGGGGCTTGTGGGGAGCTGGGTGGAGGACAGTGTAGGAATACAGAGGCTAGCCCGTGGCCTCCAGCTGTAGTGGCAACAGGCACGGGAGCCTGGCTCCAGAGCAAACACTGTTTTTGCAGTAAAGAGCCTTTCCTAATGAGCCAATCTGTCTCCACTTCTATTGGCACCCTGGGAACCAGGGTGCCGCAGAGATAATTTGCCTCACATGCCCTCCCCCCCAACAAAGCACCATTACCTCCAACCCATTACATTAGCCTTTATCAGTCTTGGAAGCTCTCAGTCATCCTCCATGAGCTGCAATAATTTCAGCTAATTTCTTAAGTGTTCTAAGAGCCTGTGATGTGTTATGAGCCTAGTAATTGTTGACTGGTTCCTCTTCTGTTGTGGGTTGATTTCATACCTTGTATCCGAGCTGATGCATGCTCTGGGTGCTTTATTACAATGAAGCTTTTTGCAAGGCTCACATTAAAAAATAACACTAAATCTGAGGTTGTTTTAAATCAGAGTTTAATTTTTCCACCATCTCCCGTTGTTCTTATTAGGAAGGCACGCAATTCTTCATAAAGATAGTGACCTCCAGTGTAAAGCTTTGAGCAAGTACAAAATTGAGAATTAATGATGAAGCCGATTATTTTTAGAGAAGTCTAAAAATGAGGCATAAAGTAATGAACTGTGCTGAGACCCAAGGGTGCAATGGTCATGGTGTAGGAGAGGCTTGGAAAATTGACTGTGCTTTCTCCATGCACCTTTTATTCATCAGAGCCTCCTTGCTCTCTAGGGGGCCTTTTCAGACCCAAGGTGGCTGACCAGCCCCAGAAAAGCTTGTTGGGGAACCAGGAACACACCTGCTAGCACCACCCACCCCTGTGCCCCACACTGTGTGTCGCCACTTTCCCCTTCAGCCTAGTGGCCCCTCTCAGATAAAGGGCACAATTCAACGGTTGGTCATCCTGGGCCATAGAAGGTACCAGGAATCGACACAGGATCTGGTTTCTGTGTAGAAAACCACCCTGAAATTCACTCTTTAACCTGTCATGCAGCTATATGACTGGCTCCTGTTTAGATAAGCTTCTACGGTCTATTGGCATCTTCTTGTCAGCGGTGAGCAGGTGAGTTCTATTTCTAGAGAGATTCTGGGGTCTCAGTTGCATACAGGGCTCATGGTATCATTGGCATTCACACCACATGAGACCACCGTGTTTTCTATCACACGGGTAGAAATCCGTATTTTAAGCCCGGCTAGAGGGCTCCTGGGGGAGCTCAGATTTCGGTTAAGCGTTTGCCTTCAGCTTAGGTCATGATCTCCAGGTCCTGGGATCGAGCCCCACATTGGGCTCCCTGCTCAGCGAGGAGTCTGCTTCTCCCTCTTCCTCTGCCTCTCCCCACTGCTCCTGCTCTCTCTCTCTCTGTATCTCTCTGTCTCAAATGAATAAATAAAAAATTGTTTTTAAAAAGCCTGGCTAGATCCAGGGGTTCAAAAAATGTCATCAGTACTTGGTCTCTCCCTCTCTCTTCTCCATTTCTCAGCTCTGTTCCCCTCTGTATTCTTTGGTCTCCATGGGCTATGGCCCTCAGAAGCTACAGACATGCATCCTGCTTGCTCAGCCACACCGAAAAGAGAGCATATCTTTGCCAGGGGTTCCCAAGAAAGTCCCAGGTGTTGAGCCTCACTGGACCAACTGAGGTCACATGGCTGGTCCCAACCAATTACTGCAGTCAGAACGATGGCATGCCCTGTAACCCGCTCACCCTGCCAAAACCACACGGCCCGTGAGTGGCAGAGGGGTGATTCCCCAAGGGATAATTGAGGTGCTATTTCAAGAAGAAGAGGAACAGAGCCTGGAAAACCAAACACAAGAAATGTCCAACGTATTTAACTTTTGCATTTGCTGCTAGAAGGAAGAACTTCCAAATTATTGTGTCACTTTGCCCATGAACAATTCCTGGATAGGAGGGCAAAGTATAAGAAAGGACCTCGAGATCCCTCAGAAAGGTGAGTGCCAAGGAACATAAGAAGTTCTTATTTCTACTCTTGTATTCCCCTGGACAGTAATCAGTACCTTAGAGAATTTCTGGAAGTTGGAGGCGTCCTAACACTCTTGGAAATACTTGGGCTGGAGAAGGTCAGGGAGGAGGACAAGAAGGAATCCATCAAGCTACTTCAGGTTATTGCAAACTATGGCAGGAAGTACAAGGAGCTCATCTGTGAAAGCTATGGTGGGTACTGTGTTACAGTGGGGGTGGCGATTCCATGTCTCCCTAGAGGCCTGGGTGAAATGGTGGCGGCACCCAGCACTGCTCCAGGAAAATGTTGCACGGAAGCACTTTGTACAGTGGAGTCAATTAGCTCCTGTCCGTGTCACCACCACGAGAGTCAGATTTATGATTTTCTTGATTCATCATTTGCTCCAATCTTTCCATGGTGGTTTTGGAAATACTTCTCCATTTTAAATATATCCTCTTTCATGCATCCATTCAACAAAGATTTATTAAGCCATTGCCTAAAATCCTTTGTGAAATTGAGTTATGAATAACTCTAGAAATAAAAGGGAAATAAATCATTGTCATTCATTGAATATGTGTGATATATGTATATAGATCACATATATATATAGTGCTGGGGATACAAAGATGAATAAAATACAGTCCTTGTCCTCAAAGAGCTTACAGTGTGGTGTAGTGAGAAGGGTAAATAACCCTGTAATTTCCCTATGTTCCATCAAGTGCTCTGATCAAGGTGGTTGGGGAAGATACCATCCCCCACACGTCCCTTTTTCAAAGCACTTCCCTCGCTGCACTTTTCTTCGTGGTTCTCCTCTATGTCTCCCCGTGGCCTCTCTGAGCCTCAGTGTATATATCCATTAAATGGGACTAACACCTCCCTCTCGGTATAGTTTCTGGGATTAAATGAGGCAGCCTTTGTCAGAACATTTAGTAAACTGCTGATAGCTGCACGTGTTAATGATCATATAGCAATCCCAAATGCGTGTTTAGTTGTGCATTTTGCGGAGCCATTTTAAACTTTAGAACAGATTTTGACAAGCTGACGTGCCTGTGTTGAAACCAAATCCTCTGGCCACAGAGCCATGAAGCAAACAAGACAGTGAGGCAGCATGAGAACTGAGCCTTGACCCGGCTTCACTTGAACGGGCCTCATTCACGTATCTTAGTCGTCCCCTGCCCGTATTATATCATCTTGAGTGAGGATTGTTTTCAGAATCCCCTTCTAATTGAGCATTTCCTCTCTTCTGTGCTCAGGTGTACGATCCATAGCAGAATTTTTGGCAAAGTCTAAATCCGAAGAGACCCAGGAGGAAGTGCAGCTTCTGTTGGATTCTTTGGTCCACGGAAACCCCAAGTACCAGAATCAAGTCTACAAAGGTCTGATAGCTTTGCTGTCCTGCACATCACCAAAAGCTCAGCAGCTGTCCCTGCAGACTCTCAGGACTGCGCAGGTGAGCCCCGGCTGCATGCTCCCGTGGTTCTGATTCAACCCACACACTAACCTTAAAATTACCTACCACAGTTGCACTTCACGCAGGCATGAGAAACAGAGCTCAGCCTCCCACAGCACGTCTGCTATTCAATCAGCGTTACTTCCAGAAGGCCAAGGTGGGGCAAAGAGTTCATGTCGCCCAGCAGAGTGATTTGTCCTGTTTACTTAAGGATCAGAAAGATGTTGGCAGACTTAAAAGTAGTTGAGACAAGCAACAAGGATGATGAAAAGACTGTAGAAAAGCTTACAGGAGTCAATTTGGTAGGGAAGGAATCAAGGTGCATTTGTAGACAGCGCAGGAGGGAGAGGCCAGATCGCCAGGGCTTGGGAAGGCTCCTCCTCTCCTCCTGGCTCCTGCCTTCCTCTCAGTGCCCTGGAATGTGAGTGGGATCTGATTTGGGACATGGTGGCCACCTGAAGACACCGTGCTGGTAAGGAGGGAAGAGAGGCTCCAAGAGTGGTCTTGAGATAAATTAGCAAAAGCTCTCAAAACAGCTCCACACTGGGTGGAGGCAGGGAGACAAGAGGTGTCAAAGGGATGGTGAGGCCTGCCCTGGGGCAGGGGAACAGAGGTGACCGGGTCAGACGGACATTTCTGAGGCGGAGCGCGTGGGAGGTGGGGCAGTAAAAGAAAAGCAGGCAAAAATGACAGCCAGCTTTGGACTTGGCAGCAGACTGAGCTGTGTGCCACCAGGAGAGAGCAGGGAAAGATTGATCGGATTTGGGAAGAGTTAGGCTTTGACTCGATGAGACTTGGTGCCTCCCAAGTGCCACCTAAGGAGCAGGCCCAGCCGGCTGCAGAGGACATAAATAGGTCATTTGTGTAAAAAACAAAAACAAACAAACAAAAAAAACGAATCCCAGGCCTCCCTCCCATAGATTCTGACAGCTTTCAGATGGCCTTTAGTAATGCTTTTTCTTTTTAAGCTCCCCAAGTAATTCTGATTTCTAGCTCAAACTGAGGAATTACTGTTGAGGACATCTAGTAGAGATACCCACTGCACAGTAGAAAATAAAAGTCTGAAGCCTCGGAAAGAGACCCGAGATTAGGATGGCAGGTGGGTTTCCTGAGCAGAGAAAGGATCACTGAAACAGCAGAAGTGAGGGAGGTCAGCCAGGTAAAATGAACCAAGAGGAGAATCACCAGCATTTAGGGCGCCTGGGTGGCTCAGTTGGTTGAGCGACTGCCTTCGGCTCAGGTCATGATCCTGGAGTCCTGGGATCGAGTCCCGCATCGGGCTCCCTGCTCAGCGGGGAGTCTGCTTCTCCCTCTGACCCTCCCCCCTTTCATGCTCTCTCTCATTCTCTCTCTCAAATAAATAAATAAAATCTTTTAAAAAATTTAAAAAAAAATCACCAGCATTTAAGAGATGAGCTAGGAAGAAAAAAAAGATGAGCTCAGCAAGAAGGTCCAACAAAACAGCTGGATTATCATTATTATTTCCAGTTTCCATTTATTTATTTATTTTAGATTTTATTTATTTATTTGAGACAGAGAGAATGAGAGAGAGAGAGCAGAGGGTCAGAGGGAGCAGACTCCCCGCCGAGCAGGGAGCCTGATGTGGGACTCGATCCTGGGACTCCAGGATCATGACTTGAGCCGAAGGCAGTCGCTCAACCAACTGAGCCACCCAGGCGCCCCTCTGGTTTCCATTTATTAAGTGCCTCCTACCTGCTAGGCACCGTGCCAGGGGTTTATTTCCATGATCTCTTTTAGTCTTCACAATAGCTGATGGAGGCAGACATTTTATTTTTTTTTTTAAGATTTTTTTTCATTTGAGAGAGAGAGAGCATGAGCATGGGAGAGGCAGAGGGAGAGAGAAAGGGAGAAACAGACTCTCTGCTGAGCAAGGAGCCCGATATGGGGCTCGATCCCAGGACCCTGGGATCATGACCTGAGCCAAAGGCAGATGCTTGACTGAGCCACCCAGGCGCTCCGGAGGCAGACACTTTAAAGATGAGGTAACTGAGCCTTGAGGGGTGTCCGGTGACTTACTCAGGGCCACACCCTAAGGAATAGGTGTGTTCTAAGCAGGCACTGAAATCCACCTCTCCCTAACTCCAGAGTCCTTAGTCGTTCCATATACCACTCTGCCTCTTTGAAAAAGAGCAATGGAAGCCGTTAAGGGAAAACGCCTGTAAAAGTGAAAGGAAAAGATTTTCAACAAGGAGTACATGACCAGCTGGGTCAAATACCGCAGAAAGGCTAAGTGTAGGTAGAACAGAAAGATGGTTCCCGTGTGAAAAGTTTGGGGGAATGTCAGCCCCGTGGCGGGAGAAGTTAAATTGCCGCAGCCTGTCAAAGGATGCACGAGGATGAAGTGGCTGCTCCTGGGCTCCTGGGAGGCTTAGGTGTAGAGGGAGAAAAAGAGCAATAGCCGAAGGGCAATTGTGTGCAAATGGGCGATCTTGAGGATGTTTTTGTTTTGTTTTGTTTTTGAAAGATTTTATTTATTTATTTGAGAGAGAGAGAGAACGAGAGATAGAAAGCACGAGAGGGAAGAGGGTCAGAGGGAGAAGCAGACTCCCTGCTGAGCAGGGAGCCTGATGTGGGACTCGATCCCGGGACTCCAGGATCATGACCTGAGCCGAAGGCAGTCGCTCAACCAACTGAGCCACCCAGGCGCCCCGATCTTGAGGATATTTCATGCTAAAGGACAGGAACCGATGCCCTGCTAAAGGTTGAAGAGGTAGAAAAGATGGATTCCCCCAGTCACTTGAGGTCCCTGAGGGAGAGAAGGTTTAGGATCCTGGATGAGTTCAACTCTCCCCAGCCGGTGCCCACCCTCCCGCCAGCAAGGTCGCTGGCTTGTGCCTGCACCTCTAGCAGGTGGCCGGCTCACCCCAACTGAATGCCTCCAGAGCTAGAGGGGTCAGTGGCAAGCTCAGCAGACTGTCTTTTGGATCCTTGGCTGCCATATCTGGCCCTCCTCTGGAGAAATGTACTCATACAGTGCAGCGGCCAAGGCCCAGTGACTCACCATTACCCTCCCTCTCCCCATTCGGCCAGGCTGCGTAGCTGTTTGCAAGCCTGCTTTTCATTTCTTCCAGGTGTACTAGATCTTAAGTAACCCCCTTGTCCTGTTGTCTTGTCAGTCGATCATTGGAACCACCCACCCCAGCATCGTGGAGTGCGTGCTGAAGGTGCTGCGCACAATGCACCTGGAAGTCCAGTATGAAGGTAGGGGGGCAGCTGGGTCTGATCCTGCTCACACATTACAGAAGCTGACCGTGAGAAAGTAGACAGACTAGCTCTAACAGTTTTCTCTTAGTCACAAAGAACCTTGTTGGGTATCCTGGAGAGCCTTGGCAGATGGTAGATGCTGGTTCGGTCTGATTGGCAAGTTATTCAGAAAATGACAGCCACTTTCTGTACTTCGAATCAGCCACGTGGTACTTTAACATTGGCTATGATCCGTCTGGGTCCAGAGCTGGCTGGTTCCCAGTCTTTTTTTTTTTTTTTAAGGTTTTATATATTTTTAGTTTTGCAAGAGGGAGTTTTGCAAGAGACAGAGAGAGAGAGAGAGTACACGAGCAGTGGGGAGGGGCAGAGGGAGAAGCAGACTCTCCCCTGAGCAGGCGCTGAGCAGGGAGCCTGACTTCGGACTCAATCCCAGGACCCTGGGATCATGACCTAAGCCAAAGGCAGACGCTTAACCAACTGAGCCATCCAGGTGCCCTCTGGTTCCCAGTCTTATGTGGTACTTCCCCTCTAACCAGAAATCACCCAGAGGACTCCACTTCTAAGAAACTAAACTGAACAGTGGTAGTATTGATAAGTTTGCATGTATTCAGTCCTCCTATGTGCCAGCTACTTTCCGTGCATCATTTCATTTAATTCTCAAAAGAACCACAAGAGTACAGAGCCTGACACATATTAGGTATTCAAATGCTCAAATGAACGAACAGTGGAGGTAAATATTTTTATGTTTTTCAAGCTAAAGCATTGAAGCACAGAGATATTAAGTATGCTTCCCAAGGTTATGCAGCTAACCAGAGTCAAACCAGATCTGAATCCAAAGCATATGCTTTTATTTATTTTAAAGTGATCCTTTTTTTATTAATTTTTTTTCATTATTTTTATTTATTTATTTATTTTGTGGGCAGCAAAGCAAAGTTTATTGAATGATAGTACAAAGCTCCCAAAGAGGGAGGGGACCCAAGAGGGTTGCCCTAAAGTGGTCCTTTTAAAAAAAAAGAAAAGATTTATTTATTTATTTGAGAAAGAGAGGGAGTACATGCATGCCCATGGTGGGAGGGGAGGGGTAGAGGGAAAGGGAGAAAGAGTCTTAACAGGACTCCATGCTCAGCTCTCATGACCCTGAGATCACGGCCCTGAAATCAGGACCTGAGCCAAAACCAACTAGATGCTTAACAGACTGTACCACCCAGGTGCCCCCAAAGCATATGCTTTTAACATGAGCCCATGGCAGGGGTTTATAAGATGTTATTTCCTTCCGTGTTCCTATAATGGTTCAGAGAAGGAAGATTCTGTTTTCAACAGGAGGGAGCAAAGAAGGGTTTGCTGAGAAGGTGGTGTTTGAACTGACCTTGGAGAATGGGAAGGATTTGGGAAAGTGGAAAGGAGCAGAGGAGGGCATTCTGGAAAGGGGAATGGCATAAACGAAGGTCCGGGCATACAGAAGTACAAGATGTATCTGAGGAATGACAGGTAGATCATTTAGTGGAAGTTTGGTAGAGGTCTCAGCCCAGGAAGACCTAGAAAGGTAGGCTAGGACCAGATCGAGGAGCACCTTGAATGCCAGATGGAATAGCGGGCACTCTGTCCAGGAGGTTATCTGGGTAGTGGTATCTGCAGTAGGTCAGAACCACAGGGAGACTCGAGGCTTGAGGCCAGTTGGGAGGCCTTTTGGGTTGTTCAGATAACAAAGTAAGAATGCCCCCATCTAGCCAAATATAGAGGCCCTGGCGAGAGCGAATGGACAGGACTAGGAAGTGCCTGGGTGTGGAGGATGAGGTAGCATAAGGGGAAAGGGCAGGGCTGAAGAGGCAGGGACACAGAGGCCCATTAAGCAGGAAAAGTGTGGACGTCAGCAAATATTAGGATCCCTGCGTCCAAGATGGCAGGCAGGTGGAGCCCCAGATCCAGGAAGTCTGGGAGGGGCAAGAGGAGCAGGCAGGGACCAGGGTTCAGGTATGCACGTGAGACCCTGGGGAAGACTAGCAAAGGTCCAGAGGGTGGCTTCAAATATCGATTGTTTTTCAGAGGCAGTGTTGAAATTGAATGTTGGTCCGTTTTTCCTGCAGTAGCATTGCCATTTTTGTATTTGTTTGACCCCTGCAGGTGTGCTTGGGAAGATGGACCTTGTATGGTGAGAAGTAATGCTGTGTTAAAATCAATTACCAGTGGGAGGAGAGTCTCCTAGCTGGGGAGGCGTTGCCATAGAGGGGTAGCGTAGTGGAGGGAACTGAGTAAAAGTCAGTCCCAGCAGCAGAGAATTGTCGCTGCATGGGAGCAAGGGTGAGGGGATGACCTGGCAGCGGACTCATGTTAGGAAATGTAATCAAGCAGCCCGCAAAGACTACTGGGTGGCACTGAGCCTCCCTCCCTGCCACCACCTCCACGGGGCTCACATGACCACTCCTACTCATCATCACTTCTTAGCTTATGCCTTTCTTCTCCAAGGTCTTCCCTCACCTGCCTTCCAGCCCTGCCCAGATGTTAGCCCTCCTCCCTTTGTACCACCCTGCACCCTCTTCCCTGCCGGTACCCCCAGCCCTGGAGCAGTCATTTCCAGAATGCACTGCACAGTTTCAGGCACTTCTTTTTTTTTTTTTTGAGATTTTATTTACTTATTTGAAAGAGAGTGCAAGCAGGGGAAGAAGCAGAGGGGCTGGATGAGGGAGGGAAACGAATCTGAAGCAGACTCTGAGCTGAATGCAAAGCCTGGGGGTGGGGGGGGTCTCGATCTCACAACCTTGCGATCCCGAAACCAAGAGTCGGAGGCTTAACTGCGCCCAGCAGACGCCCCAGTTTCAGTGCACTTCTTACCACTTCTGTCCTTATATCCTCAGAGCAGTCTCTGGCCTAGGGTAGGTGCTTGTTGCATGTTTGTGGAGGGAGAGAGGGAGGGAGTTCTGCCCATACACCCTGAACCCTGGCAGAGGCAGAAAAGCGTGAAGCTTTCTCACTGCCCTTTTGGTTTGATGTCTGCTCCTGTGATAACAGTGAAACTGTGAGCCTCAAAGTAATTTCAAACAGGCCAGACTCATAACCGGTGCTCAAGAAATGTCTGTTGAATGAAGGAATTATTCTTTTTCACCAGGGACTTCAAAAGGGTCTTGGTGTAACTGGGAACATAGTGCGTGTATATGTGCGGTTGTCCACTAGGGGGAGCTATTCCACACCTCGGCAGAGTGGAAGTTCAGGGAGCGAACGCGGCGTTCAGCTCCCGCTGAAAATCCTCCAAAGGCAGGGCAGGGAAGGTCTGACAGGTCTTAGATGTGGTGGCGGGGTTGGGGGGGGACGGTGGTTGTGTTTGTACTGAGAAGAAAAAGGAATAGTTGAGAAGGAGGAGGGAAGGAGGGCGCAGTCCACCTCCCACGCTGGGAGGGGGTAGTTGACATCGTTCCCCTGGGAAGGCTACAGGGAAAGTGCAGTTCTCAGGGAGAGTGCCGTGACAACGGGGTGGAGAGGCTTGGGAGGCTAAGTGACTCTTTCCCTTGCAGCGTGGGGCCAGGGGTGCCGGAGCCCGGTGGCAGCTTCACCTCTTTTCTCATTGAGAACTGCACCTCTGCGCCTCCGAATCTACCTGCCTGCCTGGCCTGTTACCCACGTTCTCGGCCCTCTTTCCCATCTCATCTGAGTGTCCCTGCCCCTCCCGCAGCCAGCTCTTCCGCTTCTGCTTCTGCTCTGAAGCACAGTCATAAAGCCGTCTCATAAACAGAGCCTCTCTCTTTCTCTCTAGAGGATCATCTCCGGTGACATGGAAATATGTTCTGTATCTCCCATCTTAAAAAAAAAAAAAAAAAGAGCCCCTCCTTGGGGACTTTAATCTATGGATTAAAAGAGATTTAAAAGACATCCCCCCCAGATTAAATTAAATGATAGCGTTTAAGGATGCATAGCACTCCTTGACCCCAAATTCCCCTCCAGCTACTCATTTTTCCATTTTCTTCCTACTTGATCTCTCAGCTGCTTTTGACTCAGTTGGCCCAAAGCAACTTTTCTTCTCTGGGTTTCTGTGATACCACATCCAGTTTTCCTCCCTCAAGCTGGGTCTGCCATGTTTGTTATGATTACTTTGCTACTTTCTCCTATTTCTCTACCTGACTGTTGGTTCAGCCTACTTCTCCTCTCTTTACCCACACCTTCTGCCCGCATGATTTTGTCTAGTCCCCAGCTTTACACACCACATATATGTTATATATTCAGGTACCAGACTGTGTCTCTGGCCTGACCTCTCCCCTGAAATCTCCCCAGACATCTGAAATTTATAGCCAAAACAGAACTCTTGATTTTCTTCCCAAATCCTACCCTGTCTCCTATTTTCACTAAAAGGTGCCACCACCAACCCAACTGCTCAACTAAAAAGTGTAGGACTAGTACCAAACGATCTGCTTTCTCTCACCTCCCACTGTGTCCCACACTTACCGAGTCCTCTTGGCTCTGTCCCTACTTACAGTCTCTGTCCCCACCACCACTGTGATCTCCCGTGGCTTACTCACCATCCTGTCGCTAAATTCTGCTTCCATCCTGGCCTCCTATAATCCATTCTCCCATTGCAGCCAGAAGGATCATTTCAAAAATAGCTTCCCCTTGCACCTACACTAAACTCTCCACACCTGTCATGGCCAGCAAAGCTTCTGGAAGGCTCTTTCCCCAGACCTTGGATTGACGGACAACTTCTCGAACTTCAGCTCAGACGTCTCCTCTGAGAGAGGCCTCTGACCACTCTCTCTAAAGTGTCCCCACTCCCTTCCACTGACCCCTCGGGCTCTCTGCAACACACCACAACACTGCACTTACCTCTTTCAGAAATTATCTCGTTCACTCATTTACTTGTCTAGTGTCTGTGCTCTGTAAGAAAGTCAGCTCCAGAAGAGCTGAGGCTTCATCATCTTTGTCTACCATTGTACCCTGGTGCCTACAGAGTACTGGCAAAAGTAGCCTCTTAGATATTTGTCGAATGAATGAATGAATGGAGATGAGTGAATCTTGTATATCCTCGTTTATAGTGACAGTCATCAAATTGGAAATAGAATTTGAAATACCTAATTTTTTCAGCCCAGATGGGGAAGTGCAGGCTGTGTGTATTAAATGACCTTTTATTTCCTGAGAGTTCTTAGGGCCAAGGAAGAGAGTTTGGAGGGGGAGGGGAGAAAAGGAAAGTTTCCTAGGGGAAGGTAAGAGATGGGAAGGCCACATGCACAGAGAGTGGATGCTGTGGTCACCCGTTGCTTCTAACAAACCACTCCTAATTTAGTGTCATAAAATGATCACTATTTTAACTCTTGCATAGTATGTAGGTCAAGTATTACAACAGCACACAGCTGAGATGGATTATCTTGGCTCCCTGTTATGTGGAGCCCACCAGGAAGACAGCTGGGGGTCAGAGCTGGAACGAGAGGCTAGTACTGATTTTTCCTTTCCCCTCAGGCTCCAGTATGGTTCCACATGGCACCTTTTTTCTTCCGAAAGAGTGGAAGAGAAACCTGTGCGCCAAGGAATGGTTTTCCAGTCCTCAGTACAGGGGATTCTGGTTGTCCATTCTTCACTTTGAAGTAGAAATAACCAGGGAAAGGGTAATGGTGTCCACTAATTTCTGAGGGTTTTTTTTCCCCTAGAATTAAGATTTTAGAATTTCTTTTAATGATGATCCCATATAACATTAGAAAGCCAAAATTAAAATTAAGGGAGGCCTTCTTCAAAGTGGTCCTGCCTGGAATTTATCTCCATTTATGATTTCTGTGAAGTGAAAAACGGCACTTTCCTCCCAGGGAGGATTGCTATTCCAGGAATTGGTGGCAGGCAGGGACTTAATCATGACAAGCAATCTAAAGCCACGGAAGTACTCGCTCATTGGCCTCCCTTCCTAGAGAAGAGAAATGTCAAAGTCATAGAAAGTTTTGCAGAAGAAGAAATTAATGAGTTCTTTTGGGAATTTGAAATACATATGTGTGTAAATATATTGGTATCTTTTACAAATCAATTATTACCTTAGGATCATAAAAATTACTATGTATGACTTAATTAGAAGCAGACCAATCATTGTAAATTAATTTGCCAAATATATGCCTGCCAAAATATTAGCCAAATGACCAATTTACTGCGGGCCCAACTCACCAAATTACCAATTTACTGACAACATGTTTCCTTTAAATATTTGTAAAATTTAACCATTGGTTGTATCAGTAGGACCTAAGAGATCTGGGAGAAGCTGGGACTTCAGAATTCCCTGGGCCTTCACCCCTCTCTGCCCTTGGTTGGCCCCCTTCTCTAGCCCTTGGTCTCCCTCCCACCTCTCCCCATCCCCTCTTCTCAAGGATGGGGTGCTAGGCCATGCAGTACGGTGACATCCAGCACGGTCCCCCACCGGGTCCCCCTTCCCTGCCATAGCAGCTACAGAGCTTGGGCAGAGACAAATGAAGATTCCTCAAAATGCTGCTTTGAAGACAAAATGAAAGTCGTTATATTCAAACTTTGCAGAAATCTACAAAAGCTATTAAATCAATCCATCTGTAATCCATCATACATTGCTCTATAACAAATTACCTCAAAACTTAGTGGCTAAAAACATAAACATTTTTTAAAGATTTTTATTTATTTATTTGAGAGAGAGAGAGAGAATACAGAGGGAGAAGCAGGGAACCTGATGAGGAACTCAGTCCCGGGACCCTGAGATCATGACCTGAGCTTAACCGACTGAGTTACCCAGGTGCCCCCAAAATAAACATTTATTATCTCGCACAGTTTTTGTGGCTCAGGAATCTGGGAACAGCTTAACTGAGTGGTTTTGGCTCCGGGTATCTCATGAGGCTGCAGTCAAGCGGTCAGCGGGGGCTGCAGTCATCCGAAGGTGGGACGGGACCTGGAGGACTCACCCCCCACCCTCTGGTGTGGCTCACTCACACCCCTGGTGAGTTAGAGCTTGTTTTTGACAGGAAGCCTCGGGTCTTCACCACATGGGCCTCTCCATCAGGCTGCTTGACTGTCCTCACACCAGGGCAGCTGGCTTCTCCCAGAGCGAGTGATCTGAGAGAGTGCGAAGAGGGGGCCCCACTACTTGTTCTAATCTAATCTCTCTCAGGAGTTGCACAGTCACTTCTGTTTACCCTGGTTATTGGAGGGGGGGTGGCTAGGGAGGAGAAAAGGGCTCCACCCCTTGAGAGGAAACAGACTAGAACTTTTGTGGACATATTTTAAAACCACTGTACCATCTCAAAAAAAAAAAAAAAACCTAGCTGTGCCAGTTTCCATTCCCACCGGCAATATGTGAGGGTTCTAATTTCTCCACACCCTTGCCAACACTTGTCATTGTCCTTTTTTTTTAAGAATTCTTTTTTTTTCAAATGTTTTATTTATTTACTCATGAGAGTCAGAGAGAGAGAGAGAGAGAGGCAGAGGGAGAAGCAGGCTTCCCGCGGAGCAGGGAGCCCAATGCAGGACTCGATCCCAGGACCCCGGGATCATGACCTGAGCCGAAGGCAGACGCTTAACCATCTGAGCCACCCAGGTGCCCCTGTCCTTTTTTTTTTTTTTTAATAGCCATCCTAGTGCATGCAGAGTGGTGGTACCTCATTGTGGTTTTGGTTTGCATTTTCCTAATGACTAAAGATGTTGAACATCTTTTCAAGTGCCTGTTGGCCATTTATATTTCTTCCTTGGAGAAATACCTTCTCAAGTCCTATGCCCATTTTTTTTTAAAGATTTTATTTATTTATTTGACAGAGAGAGACACAGTGAGAGAGGGAACACAAGCAGGGGGAGTGGGAGAGGGAGAAGCAGGCTTCCTGCTGAGCAGAGAGCCTGATGCAGGGCTTGATCCCAGGACCCTGGGATCATGACATGAGCCGAAGGCAGTTGCTTAACCACTGAGCCACCCAGGCGCCCCCCATTCCCATTTTTAAAAATTGGCTTGTTTGTCTTTTCGCTGTTGAGTTGTAGGATTTCTTTCTATATTCTGGATACTAGAATGGTTTCTCCCATTCTGTTGTCTTTTCACTATTTTTTTTTAAAGATTTTATTTGTTTATTGGAGAGAGAGTGAGCGAGCACACAAGCAGAGGGAGAGGCAGAGGGAGAGGGAGAAGCAGACTCTCCTGCCAAGCAGGGAGCCCAACGTGGGGCTCCATCCCAGGACCCCGGGATCATGACCTGGGCCAAAGGCAGATGTGTTAACCAACTGAGCCACCCAGGTGCCCTTGTCTTTTCACCTTTTTGATAATGTCCTTTGTTGGTTTATTTTTATTTATTTTTATTTTTTATTTTCTTTTTAGATTTTATTTATTTATTTGAGAGAGAGAGACAGAGGTAGTGAGAGAGAGCACAAGTGGGGAGGAGAGGGAGAAGCAGGCTCCCCGCAGAGCAAGGAGCCCGATGCAGGACTTGATCCCAGGAGCCTGGGATCATGACCTGAGCTGAAGACAGACGCTTAACACCTGAGCCACCCAGGAGCCCCATTTGTTGGTTTATTTTTAAATGATTTACATTTTTTGTTCATTCATTTACTTATTCAAAAGAGCAGGCACTGGGCTGGGCACTGAGTGTATAGTGACACACAAAACGAAGTCCCTGCCGGGCTAGAGCTTTGACTCAGCAGTCATAATACCAGTAATGATAACTAGTCATCACTACCAGTGAGGACTGTGTGCCAGGCACTGTTTTAAGCTCTTTAATTATGTCATACAGTCCTCAGAACAATTCTGAAAAGTAGGTACTATTATAATCCCCAGTTTGCAGATGAGGAAACTGAGGCACAGAGCAATTGAATAACCCGCCCAAAGTCTCAGAGACAATAAGTGGGAAAGTTGTGGGTCACACCCAGACAATCTGACCCCTGCACCCAAATCCTCACCACCAAACTGTCCTATCTCTCCAGTATTACAAAAATAAGACTTTTAAAATTTTTACCCCTTTTGAGAAACAGTCAAAAACCTGAGGATGGACAATATTATTATTACCATAAAACATAATTATGTTTTCTTAGCTTCATGCCCTTCTCAGGGTCATGCAAATACTATAAGATCTCATTTTCAAAACTACACCTTTTGCCCCATAGAACCTTGTGCCTTTACTTTCCGCTTCTGAGCTAATCCATATCAGCAGGAGTTTCAGCCTTTCCGGCTGTGTAAGAGGCCACCCATCCCGTGTGACTTCATTGAACAACAGTCACAAGGCTCTGATGCTAAAGGATAGTTTAACATAAAAATCAGCTGAATATTTTTTTTTAAGATTTTATTTATTTGACAGAGACAGAGACAGTGAGAGAGGGAACACAGGCAGGGAGAGTGGGAGAGGGAGAAGCAGGCTTCCCGCTGAGCAGGGAGCCTGATGCGGGGCTCGATCCCAGGAAACCTGAGATCATGACCAGAGCCGAAGGCAGACGCTTAATGACTGAGCCACCCAGGCGCCCCCAAAATCTGAATATTCTCAAAAGATAGGTTATTTCTCCCAAATTATATACTTCAACTGCCACACTTTATTCACTCTTCCTAAGTTTTATTAAACAGTCTCCCGTAGTTGTTCGTTTGTTTGTTTGTTTGTTTGTTTTCAAATAGAAAGTCCTTGGGGAACACTTCTTTCTAATGGCCCAGTTTGCCTGGCCCTCAAAACCTCCGTGTCCGCCCTGACCTGGCACTGTCTCCCCTCAGGCGCCCGACGCAGTGGTCAGTGCCCCACTCAGGTGCCCGCACACGGGTTGGTTGGACTCCGGGAGAGCAGACACCCGTGGAAGACACTACAGTAATTCTTTTTTTTTTTTTTAAAGATTTTTTATTTGAGAGAGAGAGAATGAGAGATAGAGAGCACGAGACGGAAGAGGATCAGAGGGAGAAGCAGACTCCCTGCTGAGCAGGGAGCCCGATGCGGGACTCGATCCCGGGACTCGATCCCGGGACTCCAGGATCATGACCTGAGCCGAAGGCAGTCGCTTAACCAACTGAGCCACCCAGGCGCCCGACACTACAGTAATTCTTAATTCAGCAGTACATATACCACCAAGAGTACCTAACATTAATTACTTCATCGACTGGCTTTTTTAAAAGAAGTAGTATGTAAAATATGCTTTTTATGTTTCAACAGTGGGCTTTGAACAGGATGTAGGTGAAAGAGGTGGTGAGATGTACAGGAATCAAAGATAGAATGTGGCTGGTCGGGAAAATCCTTGACACTGGTCTCTCTTTCTTATAACAGCAACTTGCCAAACGTATTCACACTCTCACCCCGGGAAAGGGGAAAGGAAGCAAACCTGTCTGGACGCTCACTGAAGCACACTTCTCACATGTGGCCAGTAGGTGGCAGTTTCGCGTGGAAGTGAAGACCAAGAACTGGAACGCGGGTTTCCCAAGGCTCTAGGAGCAAAAAATTATAAAACAAACTTCCTCAGTGCCGAGTGCCTTAGAAATAGTTGCGTGCTGGGGCGCCTCAATGGCGCAGTTAAGGGACCGCCTCTTGGTATTGGCGCAGGTGGTGATCTCAGGGCCCTGATCTCTTAAGCCCCGAGTGGGCTTAAGACTCTCTCTCCCTCAGCCCCTCCCCCCAATAAATAAATAAATCGAAGGAAGGAAGGAAGGGGGAAGCGAGGGAGGGAGGAAGGAAGGAAGGAAAGAAAGAAAATAGTCGCATGCCACAGTTCCCAGGTGCAATGCCATTTCTAAGGTTCCGTCTGTCCAAAGAATACTGAGCCCACCACTGCGACTCTGTCTCCTATTCGTTGTGATTCGCTGGGCAAGTTATTTGTTCAGGGTTTCTTCAGCTATCAGACAGGTGATCAAGGAACTTTCTTCCCGGACTGACAGGCTGTGGGTTCTGTGGTTCCCCTTTGGATTAGAGGAATCCCTTCTTCTGCACTGAAGTTTCCATGAGTGTCAGTGCGCCACCCTTTGCATCTGTTTTGTCTACTGCTGTTGCAGTCAGCACAAACCACTGTGGCTGACACGGACCCGACCAGTTTGTCAAATGAAAGCTTAGGCCCCATAGAGCTGCTTCTCAGCCTCAACGGGTGTGACCTCCCCATGGCTCTAACCCTCCTGATCACACTCTCCTCCCTGAATACTCTGATCTCTTCCTTCCCTGACCTGAACTCTCCTAGTTTCCTCCTCTCTCTCTGGAAACTGTTGCTCAGTCCTTTGTACATTCCCATCCCTCCACCAGTCCCTTAGTGCAGGTTTCTTTTTCTCTCAGGATTCAATCCCAGGTCCCCTGCTCCTCTCTTTCCTTTCTGTCTGTGGTACCTCATCTACTCCCACGGTTTTAATGACAGCCTATAGTGATAGAAACACAAGTGGCTAGCCTTTATAAGGTGTCTCCTCCACGTTAGGTACTGCTCCAGCTCCCTACTCGTTAGTCCTCACGACAAGCTGACAAAGGTGGCACAATTATTATTCCCGTTTTGTGACAGTCAGGCAGAGCAGCTGAGTGACCTCTCTCCAGCTCACACTGCTCTCCTGAGCTTCATCCCAATTTTTCCGTTGGCCTTCTGAACATCTCCCCTCGGGTGTCCCTGACCATGTTCAGAACTGGACTCCTGAGATTCCAGCTCGAAGGTCCCAATCTCAGTGAAAAGCCCCCAAGGCTGGAAATGTAGGTCATTGCCATCTCTTCTTGCTTCCCGCCTACAATCAACTTCTAACAAGACCAGTCAACTCTTAACTCCTTGCTATCGTTCAAATCTCCCTTTTCTTCGTTCTGTCTCCACTGCTGTTACTCATATCTCTATATCTCTCACCTCTAAACCAACCTCCGTCTCTCTAGCATGGTCCCTACACAGTCCGTCCTCCTCATCCTCCACCCAAGCCGAGGCAGCAGACCTTAGTGGTGAAAAATATGAGCTTCGGAATCCCGACAGTCATTCTGCTACTTTTTAGCTGTTTGACCTTGGGTAAGCTCCTCAACATTTTTGAGTCGGTTTCCTCTGAAATGAAAGACAAGAGGGGCCCCTGGGTGGCTCAGTCAGTTGAGCATCCGACTCTTGATTTCAGCTCAGGTCATGATCTCAGGGTCGTGGATAGAACCCCACGTCAGGCTCCATGCTCAGTGCGGAGTCTGCTTGAGATTCTCTTTCTCCCTCTCCCTCTGTCCCTCTCCCTGCTCACCTGTGAGCATGCACGTGCACTCTCTCTAAATAAATGTATATTTTTTAATCTTTGAAATGAAAGACAAGAAAAAACACCTGCCCTATGCAGTGGTTGGCACATGCAGAGTCCTCAGAAGCCAGTCCGTCTCCTCAGGCTTAGGTCTCACTCCATGACCCAACACCCTGTGCCCTAGCCAGACCTCCCTGCTTGCCCAGCCACAATGGTGGCGTGCACTTGCCACGTTCTTCATTCCAGTCCCTCTCTTCTCCTCCATGGCTTTGTCAGCTCACGTGTCACCTTCTCCAAGAGAGCCTTCTCCTGATTCCCTGTCCCCCAGTTTCTCAACATACCCTCACACCAACCTGACTTGCTTTGTGTTCCCATGGCTCTTATAATACTACAGCGTACATACCAGTTTCCTTACTGGTATCCCCCATTAAACTGTGTCATCCCTGAGGACAGGGATTGTATCTTTGTCCTCCTTGTAGCCATAGCACAGGGGTCTGGCACACAGAAGATGCTCAGTAAGTATTTTGTTAGATAAATGAATGAACCAATGAATAAATCAGTGACTGAAACCATTTAGGACAGTTGGGTGTTGTCAGCAACACAGGCTTCGGGCAAAGCTGCCAAAGACAGTAATCCCCCGTTGCCCTTTGCTTTCTGAATGCTCTGCTATGCTTCAGAACTAGCACAGTGGGTAAAGAGTTGTAACTGGCTGTGGTTCCTATGAGGACATTTGGACAGAGACTAGCCCTTTCACTTTGGGTGTAAACATGGACAGCTCTGAATTTTAAAACTCAATCAAAAATAATTCAGTGAATAAAGCTTCACTTTTCCAAGGAGTTCCGAGTGTTGCAGACACACTAGCAATGAAGGCTTAAGTGTTTAGGGTAAAGTGAGTAGGCAAAAGCAGATATTTATCTCCTGGAGAACTTGGTCCTGCGTGGGCAGAGAATATGTTTTGTGGTCAGGGAAATTTCATAAAAATATTTTCATTCATTCTTTCCACCCTGAGTATTCTCTGAGTCATTTCTTGCTGTAGGGAGAACTCTCTTAGGCACAGGCAAGGGTTTTTTGCAGGTGTCCTGGCACTCAGGTGCCGTCAGCTTATTGTGCCTGGGAAAGAGCCCAACTACTAAGGGAGGCAAGCTGTGCGGCAGCTGACTGGGCCCAGCAGAGTTGGGCGCGAGGGCGGGCCAAGCACGCTAATTCATTTTTTTTTATTGTTATGTTAATCACCATATATTACATCATTAGTTTTTGATGCAGTGTTCCATGATTCATTGTTTGTTCATAACACCCAGTGCACCATGCAAAACGTGCCCTCCTCAATACCCATCACCAGGCTAACCCATCCCCCCACCCCCCTACCCTCTAGAACCCTCAGTTTGTTTTTCAGAGTCCATCATCTCTCATGGTTCGTCTCCCCCTCTGACATACTCCCCTTTTCTTCCTCTCCTGTTATCTTCTTCTTTTCCTTTTTTCTTAAAATATGTTGCGTTATTTGTTTCAGAAGTACAGATCTGTGATTCAACAGTCTTGCACAATTCACAGCGCTCACCGTAGCACATACCCTCCCCAATGTCTATCACCCAGCCACCCCATCCCTCCCACCCCCAACCACTCCAGTAACACTCAGTTTGTTTCCTGAGATTAAGAATTCCTCATATCAGTGAGGTCATGTGATACATGTCTTTCTCTGATTGACTTATTTCACTCAGCATAACACCCTCCAGTTCCATCCACGTCGTTGCAAATGGCAAGATCTCATTCCGTTTGATGGCTGCATAATATTCCATTGTGTATATATACCACATCTTCTTTATCCATTCATCTGTCGATGGGCATCTTGGCTCTTTCCACAGTTTGGCTATTGTGGACATTGCTGCTATAAACATTGGGGTACATGTACCCCTTCGGGTCCCTACATTTGTATCTTTGTGGTAAATACCCAGTAGCAAGCACGCTAATTCAAAACCCCACTAATTCAAAAAGAAGGAAGAAGTTTCATAACCAAACAATAAGAGAACAAGTGAGAAACACTTGGGGGTTTCACACACCGGCCAAGCGGCCTGAGGCACCCCAGGCTGCATTTTTGTCCAAGGGGGAGAATGTTTGGGGGACACCGGGGGGGGGTCAGTGTGCTGGTCCCTCTCCCTCTGTGATCCCAAGTTAGAACCACATCTGAGCAACAGGAGGCTGGAGTGGGGGGCCACTGGGATTGGGAGGGCAGGAAGCCCTGGAAGGAAGAGGAAGCCAAGAAGCCAGCAGCAGCTGGACAGTCCTAGGAAGTGTTTCTGAATGAAGCAGCGGTTTCTGAATCAGGTTGGTCCAGAGAGAAAAGGGGAGGCCGAACAAGGCCTGACCCCAGAATACTAAGCGCTAGAAGGGGTAGCAGGGATGTCCTTAAGAGTCCTTCTGCCAGAGAGTAAATGATTAGGAAAAACAGGCCGAGACAAGACTGGCTTTGTGTGGGGCTTCAGGACGGGGCCTCTGTATGCTCCATGGCTCTGCGGTGTGGGTGGATGGGAGGCCCCCCCAGGACTTGAGACAAGGGCAACTTGTCTCAAGGGGGAGGCCTTACTGGTACCTTCCCTTAGACCGACTCACAGCCCAAACTGGTTCTCCTTCCTGCCAAAGAACACTCTGAGTCCTGGAGTGGAGACGTGGGCACCCCTCCTTCTGGGAGCGTTGGGAGCTGAGGGCACTTGGCACCAGGCAGGAGAACCGTGTATGGCGCATGAGACCCAGGAGGGGACTGCTGGCTGCCTCCCCAGCCTCTGCCTCCGGGTAAACAGGCCGCTGCGCGGCTGGTGACTGTCAGTGACAGTCTTCTGACAAGATTATAAATCACCAGCCCATGTTCATGGTTAGGCACCATATGCGTGTGTGTGGTTAGCAAGTAAAGCTGCCAGGAGCTGCCCGCGGCCTCCTGTAGACCGCCGCCCTGCGTGTGCTGCAGACCCGTGCGGTCCCTGCCACTGGCCACCTCTGCCCCCCGGCTCCCACGGTGCAGACGGGGCTGCGGCCCCTGCGCCCGTCTGCCCGCCCGCCGTCTCTGACAGGAGCGTTCAGGCGTGCGCCTCGGTTCTGGGCCCAGCCGGCCACCCGGGGCGGAAGGGCGGCGCTGTGGCGGCCGTGGCTCTCCAGCCTGCCAAGACGCAGAGCCGGGGCCGCTTCCACCGCTCAGGGTGGGCGAGGGCGGCAGTGGGCAGCGCGGGGCCGCTCCTGCGGGCCTCCCCACCGGGCTGGCGGTCTCCAAGCACGGTCCTGGGCTGCCGTTACCCGCGCACGGGAAGACAGGCTCCAGTCGATTGTTTCCAGTCGATTTATGGACTGGACTGGTTTGAGGCTCTGGGGAGGCCAAGCTGCCTCAGATACACGTTCACTGGAGTGCACAGTAGTGGAGAGACTATGACTGGATGACGGCGGTGCTCCGTGGTGACAAAAGGGGGCTGTAGGGCCAGAGACACAGGACGTCTACTCCTCAGTGGTTCGGACTGGAGGCAGAGGGACTCAGTGGTCCAGAGTGGAGGCAGAGGGAGAACAAGTCAGACAAAGCTACTTGAAAGCTAATTTCTGAGGTGAGTCTAGAAGAATAAGTAACAAGAGGCAGGTGAAGAAGACTCTTCTTCCTGATAATGGTAGGCTAGAAAATTTGGATCAATCCCCCCTTCTGGAGGGATTGATGTTGAGTTGTTTTTTCTCACAACACTTCTGATACCAAATGGGGGGAGGGGGGTTTCCGCACAAAGCAATTGTCCAATTCTCCAAGGACATCAGTTGGGTACGCTATAATTCAATTCAATTCTGACACTACCCGGAGTTAGCTTCAGACTCCACAGGTTTAAGGGCTCAGCACCTCAAGAATGCCTTTACTTCAAATGCCAGTTGTATTAGGTTCCCATGTTATTCATACTTCTGTCCAACTTGGCTACAAAGCCGGGGGGTTCATGCAACCCTTCCTCCCTTTCAAGTTCAGTCATTTGCTAGAACAACTCACAAAAATCAGGAAAGCATTTTGCTTACTATTAACAGTTTAGTTGTAAAGGATACAGATCAGGAACAGGAAAATGGAAGAGATGTATAGGGCAAGGTATGGATTGGGGGACTGCTCCAGGCACACCACTCTCCCACACTTCAGTGTGTTCACCAATCCAGAAGTTTTCTGAACCTATCACTTCAGGGTTTTTATGAAGTTTCACTATGTAGGCATGGTTATTGGTGATTGATGAGCAAATCATTGGCTGTTGGCTATTGTACAACCACCTGTGTGGTCCAGGAAACCTCAAGTCTTGAACTTGGACAAAAGTGGTTCAGAACTGTTAGTGCCCAGGCGGCTGAAAGAAGAAAGGAAAGTGCTCTCTGGAAGAAAGTATCTGCATCTGGGCGCCTGGGTGGCTCAGTTGGTTAAGCGACTGCCTTCGGCTCAGGTCATGATCCTGGAGTCCCGGGATCGAGTCCCGCATCGGGCTCCCTGCTCAGCAGAGAGTCTGCTTCTCCCTCTGACCCTCTTCCCTCTCGTGCTCTCTATCTCTCATTCTCTCTCAAATAAATAAATAAAATCTTAAAAAAAAAAAAAAAGAAAGTATCTGCATCCTAGCTCTGAAGTTTTTTCCTACAATTAGTTTTGCAAATATACGACCAACCCAGGGACACCTGGGTGGCTCAGTCAATTGAGCATCTCCCTTCGGCTCAGGTCATGGTCCCAGGGTCCTGGGATCGAGTCCCACATCAGGCTCCTTGCTTGGCAGGGAGTCTGCTTCTCCCTCTCCCTCTGCTGCTCCCCCTGCTCATTTTCTCTCTTCTTCTCTCTCTCTGTCAAATAAATAAATAAAATCTTAAAAAAAAAAATACAGGGGCGCCTGAGTGGCTCAGTCGTTAAGCATCTGCCTTCGGCTTAGGTCATGATCCCAGGGTCCTGGGATCGAGCCCCACATTGGGCTCCCTACTCAGTGGGGAGTCCGCTTCTCCCTCTCCCATTCCCCCTGCTTGTGTTCCCTCTCTCGCTGTGTCTCTCTCTGTCAAATAAATAAATAAAATCTTTAAAAAAAATTCAATAGCTAAAAGTAATTCCTCAGTGTACACATTTAACAGTAGAGTAGACACAGGTGAAGAGAAAATTAGTCACCTGGAAGAGGGGAAGAAAAGTAAGGGTAAGAGTGAGACTCTCTAATAGAGGCAAAGAGAAAAAAGAAAGACTAGGGCAGCACCATTAAGGAGACAATGGTGGAGAGTTGTCAAGAAGTGATGAAAGACACCAACCCACAATAAAGTCTAAAAAGGTTAAATCAAAATAAATCCACACAAAACGACTCAAGTATATACTGTCTCCAAGAAATTTACTTCAAATAAAAGAATATAGGCAGGTCGAAAGTAAAAAGAAAAAGATATTTCATGAAAGTACTAATGAAAGGAAAATAGGAGTAGCTCTGTTAATATCACACAAAGTAGGGGCACCTGGGTGGCTCAGTCAGTTAAGCATCTGATTTTGGCTCAGGCCGTGATCTCAGGGTCGTGGGATCGAGTCCCACATGGGGCTCCCTGCTCAGCAGGGAGTCTGCTTCTCCCTCTCTCTCCGCTGCTCCCCCTGTTTGTGCTCTCTCTCTCATCTCTCCCTCTCAAATAAATGAAATTTAAAAAAATAACAAATAAAAAGAAAAGAAAAATCAGCAAGTATATAGAACTCAACATCATCAACCAGCAGGGCATAACTGACATTTATAGAACACAATTCTATATTTCTAGAAAACAGAAGGGAAGGAAATAATTCCTAATTAATTTTATGAGGCTAGTGGGGTGCCTGGGTGGCTCAGTCAGTTAAGCATCTGCCTTCAGCTCAAGTCGTGATCCCATGGTCCTGGGATCAAGTCCCACATTGGCCTCCCTGGTCAGTGGGAGCCTGCTTCTCCCTCTCCCTTGCCTGCTGCTCTACCTACTTGCACTCTCTCTCTATCTCTCTGGCAAATAAATAAATAAAATCTTTAAAAAAAATCTTTTTTCATGAGGCTAGGATTACCCTAATACCAAAACCAGACAGTGGCAGTACAAGAAGAGTACAGATCAATATCCATCATCAATATAGATGCAAAAATCTTTAACAAAAGATTAGCAATTAGGATTCAGCAATATATAAAAAGAATCATACACCATGACCAATCAGGGTTCATTCCCAGAATGCAAAGCTGGTTCAATATCCAAAAAATCAATCAATTTAATCTACCAAATCAACAGGCTAAAGAAGAAAAATCACATTATTATATCCATCAATGCAGAAAATGCATTTGACAATGTCAGCACCCATTGATGAACGCTCAGGAAACCCTCACAAAAATAGAACTAAAGAAGAACTTCCCTGGGCGCCTGGGTGGCTCAGTTGGTTAAGCGACTGCCTTCGGCTCAGGTCATGATCCTGGAGTCCCGGGATTGAGTCCCGCATTGGGCTCCCTGCTCAGCAGGGAGTCTGCTTCTCCCTCTGACCCTCCCCCGCTCATGCTCTCTCTTTCTCTATCTCATTCTCTCTCTCAAATAAATAAAATCTTAAAAAAAAAAGAACTTCCCCAACTTAATTAAAAAAAAAAAAAGCATCTACCAAAAACCTACAGCTAACATTATACTTAATAGTGAAACACTGAGGATGCCCGGGTGGCTCAGTCGTTAAGCATCTGCCTTCGGCTCAGGTCATGATCCCAGGGTCCTGGGATCGAGCCCCGCATCGGGCTCCCTGCTCGGCGGGAAGCCTGCTTCTCCCTCTCCCACTCCCCCTGCTTGTGTTCCCTCTCTCTCTGTCTCTCTCTCTGTCAAATAAATAAAATCTTTAAAAAAGAAATAGTGAAACATTGAATGCTTTGCCCCTGAGTTCAGGAACAAAGCAAGAATGTCTACTGAAGGATTAGTACTAGCAAAAGAAAAATGATCCTAGGAGACAATTCTCTACAGGTCTATCACATTTCTGCATATCTTTTAAGTGAAAAAACAACTGCTCATTGTCCCAAACTATCTTTTCAAGGATGTTGATGAGCAAACAGCTTTGGAAAATATATTTCCCCCTTTAGAGCAAAAGGCAGGCATGCTTACTGACTGTAACATTCAGGTCTTCTAAATGTTTCTCACTGTAGTGCACACCACTGCACAAGCAGGCATCCAAGTGTGTTACCCCCATGGGACTTGGGGGCAAAGGGATTCCATGCAGAAAGAGAAAAGCCACATAATCAATATGAAGAATATAAAAGAAGACATCACTAAAGATGCTACACTCATTAAAATGATAAAAAGATGAGATAATGAATTTTTTTAATGTTTGAAAATGTAGATGAAAACTGCTAGACATTATAACCTACCAAAATGGACTTATGAAGAAAGAGAAAATCCAAATAGTCCTCTAACCATTAAAGAAAATGAATCAGTAATTTTTTCCCCATAAAGTCAGCTTAGAGAATTCTATCAAACATTCAAGATAGGGTCACCTCGGTGGCTCAGTCCGTTAAGCGTCAGCCTCCAGCTCGGGTCATGATCCCAGGGTCCTGGGATGGAGCCCCGCATCGGGCTCTCTGCTTGGCAGAGAGCCTGCTTCTCCCTCTCCCTCTGCTCCCCCTGCTTGTGCTTGCTCTCTCTCTCTCTCCGTCAAATGAATAAATAAAATCTTTAAAAAAATTTTCAAGATAAAATTCTCGTCTTACTCAAACTCTTCTCAAGATTAGAAAAAGAGAATATAAACCCCAACTTATTTTCTTAGTTTAGCTTAATCTTTTTTTTTAAGGTTAGCCTCATCTTAATATAAAAATCCATCAATGATACCATGCAAAAGAGAAATTATACACCAATCTTATCCGCATAGCTGCAAAAACTCTACACAAAATATTAGCAAACTGAATCTAGCAGCATATGCCAAGGATAATAAGTCATCTAATCTAGGAACGCACATATATCATCTTAATAGGAAAAAAGTTTGAAAACATTTAATGTCTGTTCAATAAGAGATATCTACAAAAAACTATAACAAATGCCATACCTAATAGATGAAACATTGGAAACTTTTCCTTTAAGCTCAGAAATAAGGCAAATTTGCAAACATTCCTCTCCACGGAAATCTTTAGTAAAAGGTGAGATATGCAATCAGAAGAGGAACCAGAGTATACTTAGGTATGTTTGCTACTCTTTCCATAACTGACTGCAGTTCTCCAAGACTGGTGTCTATTCCTGTGCCACCATCACCCTGCTAGGAAAATTTGTGAAAGGGATTTTTAGAAAAGACATTTGTTGATCCAAGGAAACAGGGAAATGTGCAGTTTTATTTTTTTTTAAAGATTTTATTTATTTATTCATGAGAGACAGAGAGAGAGAGAGGCAGAGGGAGAAGCAGGCTCCCAAGGAGCAGGGAGCCCGATGCGGGACTCGATCCCAGGACCCTGGGATCATGACCTGAGCCGAAGGCAGACGCTTAACCATCTGAGCCACCAGGCGCCCGAAATGTGCAGTTTTAAACAAAAATGTAGTACTGGGGTGGCAGCCATAGATATGCAAATGAGCCCTCTGGGTGAGATGGTAGGGTTGGCCCACAGTAGTGCAGGGTGCGCACCTGCCCCACCCACTGCTGGGGTGGAGGGGACCCAAAACATTTTTTAAAGGGCACCCGGGAGGGTCACCTGGTTAAGCATCGACTCGGTTTCGCCTGGGATCAGGATCTCATGGGTTGTGGGATCCAGCTGCCTCAGGTTCTTGGCCCACTGAGGAGTCAGCTTGAAAGTTGCTCTCGCTCTGGCCGTCCCCCCCCCCCCCAATTCATGCAAGCGCTCTAAACAAGTTGTTTTCTTAGGAAAAATTACCACAATAGAACAATGCTTACTAACTTAAAAAAAGAAAAAGAAAAAAGGCACTTTATAAGATGTTGCCCAACCAATCCCAAACAGCAGTGTTGTTTTTTACTTATTTATCTGACAAATAGAGAAACAGCAAAAAGAGGGAACACAAACAGAGGAAGTGAGAGAGGAAGAAGCAGGCTTCCCCCCAAGCAGTGAGCCTGATATGGGTGCTTGATCCCAGGACTCTGGGCAGACACTTAACGACTGAGTCACCTAGATACCCCAACAGCAGTGTTGTTTAACAACCAAATCACGAACCTAAGAATCTGTCCTTGCTAGGAAACATTTAGCCTTACTTGAATAAGGCCTCCAAAAATTGTACTACCAATTCTCTAGTGCTGCTTCCTGCAAAAATACATGTTTGGCACCTACATCAAAGACCCTATTAAGATGAGAAAAAACAATACATATGTTGCCCCTGTGCCCCTGGTCCCGGATACTGGCTGATCCCCTCTACGCTTCCGGTGCCTTTGCACCTACCAGCAAACGCTTTTCTTCCATGACCGAGAATTATCTCAAGCATATCCTTACTGGGCAAAGCTTTCCTGACAAGGATATAAAAGGTTAATTTTCATGATTCAAAGAGATATTCCTGGTATTAGTTCTCATGTGTCTATCGAAGTCTCAGCTCCCCTACGAGTCGAGTCGAGGTAGCAAGCACGTGTGTTTAAAATAACACTTACCAGTGTTCCATCACATGACTAACTCACCCTGCCCCCATCCAGCTCTGCCCCCATGCGATTCCCTTCTAAGAATGTTTCTTCTCCCCTTTCCTCATCTTCCCCAGCACCCCCCCAGCTTGACCCCCTTTGTAGTGCTATACTGTGCACCTGGCGCATCAGACATGTAGTGCAGGCTTGTGCGAAGGCTGAGGGAATGCCAAAACGACTGGGAAGTACCTCTAAAAAAACAACCCTCAATAAATTCTAGTTCTTTCCTCATTTGTAATCCAATCTTTCCTTTTGCTCCCCCCCCCCAAACGTTAGCCAAATCACTTTGCCCCTTTGCTTCACCCTCTGCAAGGTGAAATGGGCTAACAGTTACAGTGTCATTGCAAAGCAAACCTCTTTTGGTTATGGTGAGCTTCGAGGGGATGCTGTGTGGAAAGCCTAGGCAAAGGGCTCCATAAATGGTTTGTCTACCTTGCTTCCACCCTTCTCACTTGCTGCCACACATCCTCCATCCACTCGCTGTCTCCCTCTCACCCCACCCCCGGGGGGCTTTGCCCATCCTTTCTCCCTTTGAAGACCTAGCCCCTCCCACCTCCGTGACACCCGGATTCCCGGATTCCTCCAAGCCGAAGGTGGCCCCACCTCGGTGGGGACTCCAGCTCTGACAGCCTCAAAGGCTCACCATCCAACCTTTCCTCCTCCCTCTATGGCAAATTCTGTGAGGGCTGAGTGTGGGGGATGAGGCTTGGCCCCCTCCTCCTCCTCTTTAGCCCCAGATCCAGCCGGACTGAGGTGTTGCCTGCCCAGCTTCCCCCACACATAGCTTGCATGGTGCTGGCCAGTAAAAGGTGCTAGGAAAGGAGCAGGAAGGGGATGGGGGTAAAGGGAAGCGACTTGGTTCAAGGGAGTCTTTGCTTGCTTGGTGGGGATGGAGGGTTTTGGAGCGTCAGGCCTCCCCAGCGCCTCTGCCGTTCCCCAGCCATCGAGCTGATCAAGGACCTGGTCAACTATGACGTGTGCCAGGCGCTGCTCAAGGGCCTCGTGGAGCTGCTGATACCGTCCGTCAAGGAGACCAGCAAACTGCAACCCAAGATCCTCAACGGTAGGGAGCCGCTCGGACTGGGGCTGCGGGGCGGGGGCTGGCCTTGGGAAGCCGGACCTCCAACCTCACGGCCGCCCCCTCTGCCAGACTCCTTGGTTCCCCAGCTCACCGCCCACCTGCCGGTGTTTTTGCAGCAGGCTGCGGCGGCCAAGGCCATCGGGTAAGCGGGCGGGGGGAGTGGGGGGAATGCGGCGAGCCAGGCTGGCGCTGCCCGCGGGCCCGGGGTGGGGGGGGTGCGGCTCGGGCTGCCGGGCGCCGGAGGATCCCAAGGGGTCGCCGCCGCCCGAATTTCCGGCCCAGGATCCTGGCGCGCAGCAACACGAGCATCGCCGAGGAGATGCTGCACCTGCGCGTGGTGCACAGCCTGTTGGCCGCCATGGGCAACTCGGACCACAGCAACAGCCAGCGGCAGGCCAGCCTCACGCTGGAGGTGAGCGGCGGGACTGCGGGGCGGCGCGGCGGGCCCTGGGCGAGGGCACCGCAGTCACCCCGCCGCCCCCCGCGGCCGCAGTACTTCGTGCAGGTGTTCCCGGTGGTGGAGGAGCACGTGCGCAGGTCCATGGGAGAGGAGCTCTATAAGCTCTTCCTAGTAAGTGCCCCCGCCCCGCAGAGCCTGGACGGCGACCGGACGGTGCGGCCTCCACAGCGTCCCCGCCCCCCCCGGGCCACACCCCCCACGCACGCTGGGCCCGGGTCCGCTGTGGGAGGGACCGCGCTGGCTCGGGCTCCTCCCCACCCCCACCCCCGCCCCGCGTCCTGCCGGTCCCTGTCCTGCGCTTCCGGTCAGCCCCGGAGCCGGCCGCATTCCTGTGCCTGGCGCCCGCCTGCAGGTCCAGACTGCCCTGGAGGCTCAGTAGGTTTCCCTTGCTCCTGCCCCCAGAGCAATGCCGAGGACTTGTACATGAAAATAGATAGCATTCAGGCGGACATCTTGGCGGCCAATAAAGTCAATGTTTCCAAAGGTGAGTGGGGAGTGAGGGTGCCTGGAGCCGAGGTGCAGCGGCACCCAGACTCAGGCTCGCCTCCCCTGCCTCCAGCATTATACCTCGGTGGCGTCCCCCACAGCAACACGACGTTTTACCTTGACGCCCATGACCAGGATCAGCTGGCTTACATCACATACTTCCAGAAGGAGGATGTGGAGGGAGAGGAGTAACAGAGCCTCTGAGGCAATCCAGGAAGGCCCGGGCTGTGTTTCAGGAAGCCTGGCAGAAGGATCCTGGGGTCACGCTCACGGTGACTCCACTGGCCCAGGTGGGAGGCTGAGGGTTGGGCCTGCCAGGAGAGGAGAGGGAGAGCTGCTGGCTGGCAAGAATTCAATAAATAATCTTGCTATATGTCTGTTCTCTGTGTAGCGGGGCGGGGGAATTAAATGAGAGCTTTGTTGATGGGCTGGGGTTCCTCTGCTCATCCAGGAAAAAAGCTGGTCTGGAGGGAAGGAACATCGATATCCTGGAAGATTTAAGAGTGTAGCCTGAGGAGAGAACTTCACCTCTGCTCCCTACTGGCCCCTGCACGCTCTCCTCCAGGAGACCACACTCTGCTTTTTTTCCTACCTCTGGTTGCTTCCTCTCATTTTCTTTTGCTGATTAATCCTCTCAACCCAGCTTCTTTCAAGTTAGAGTAACCTGGAGCCTCTTCTCTACTTTTTCACCCTGGTGATCTCATCCAGTCTCAGAACTTTAAATGCCATTTATACGCCATTGACTCCCACATTTCTATTTCCAGTTAAATATTTCCACCTCTTTATGTCCAAAACTGGACTTCTGATCTGTGCCACCTTCCCCAGCACAACTGATGGCAACTCATCGTTTCTGCCACTCAGAACAAAATAGTGTTCTCTTTAATGTCTCTCTTCAACATCTGTATCCGTTCTGTTGACTCCAAGTATATCCAGAATCCAACCATATCTCACTACCTCTGTTGGTAATACCCTAATCTGAGCCGTTGTTTTTCCTGCTTTGTTTCTCCACCATTGTTTAGACTACTCTAGAGGCCTTTCTACCCCATTCTCTTTTCAATACAGCAGCCAGGGTAGTCTCTCTTTTTTTTAAGATTTTATTTATTTATTTGAGAGCGAGAGAGCACAAGCAAGGGGAGAGGCAGAGGGAGAAGCAGGCTCCCTGCTGAGCAGGGGGTCCCATGTGGGGCTTGATCCCAGGACCCTGGGATCATGACCTGAGCCGAAGGCAGACGCTTAACCAACTGAGCCACCCAGGCACCCCCATGGTAGTCCTTTTAAACTTAGATTGTGTTACTGCTCAAAACCTTGCAGGGCTCTCCATTTCAGGAACAGTAAAGCTAAAAGCCCTTCCTATGGCCTGCAGGGAAGACGGTAGACAATTTAGTCTCCTATGACCTCTGAACTGTCTCCTACTTCTCTCTTTCTCCTTCACTGGATAGCATAGCTATATGGTTCTTAGAAACTTTCACCTCAGCTATATAGCTACATGGTGAACTCCCTCACCTCCTTGCAACTCTATACAAAAGTCACCTTCTCAATGAGGGCTACGTCATTACCACTCCCTATACTCTGGTCCCCAAGCCCCTTATGCTATTTTTTCCCACAACACTTATTACTTTATTTGTGTATGGTCTGTCTCTCCACCTGTATATAAGCTCAACTAGGTCAGGGGTATTTTTGTTCTTTACTAATACATCCCAGACATAGAACAGTGCCTGGCATGCACGTGTTAATGACAGAAATTGTCCATCAAATCAGAAGAAATGATAGATAGGGCGCCTGGGTGGCTCAGTTGGTTAAGCGACTGCCTTCGGCTCAGGTCATGATCCCGGAGTCCCGGGATCGAGTCCCGCATCGGGCTCCCTGCTCAGCATGGAGTCTGCTTCTCCCTCTGACCCTCTTCCCTCTCGTGCTCTCTCTCTTTCTCTCTCTCTCAAATAAATAAATAAAATCTTAAAAAAAAAAAAAAAAAAAGAAATGATAGATAGACAGCAGTAATTCTCCAGGTGGCCACAAGAGGGCACACCGGCCCTGGTTGTTAATCTAAGGCAGTCTCAAAATGAGCTGAGAAAAGTTAACAAAATATAGTTACGCTTTAAAGGTAAGTGGGTGTTCTGTTTTAAAGAAGTGTCTGTTTTTAATCTTCAGATGGCCTTTTTTTGTAGAATGATGGTAAAAAAGTACCCCGGAAATTTTTTGAAATTTTAATAATCGGAAAATCCAAAAATCTGGAAGCCACCGGTCTAAGGTGACCATAGTTTAATAAAAACAATGGAACTTTTAGGGGCGCCTGGGTGGCTCAGATCGTTGGGCGTCTGCCTTCGGCTCAGGTCATGATCCCAGGGTCCTGGGATTGAGCCCCGCATCAGGCTCCCTGCTCAGCGGGGAGTCTTCTTCTCCCCCTCCCTCTGCTTCTCCCCCTGCCCATGCTCTCTATCTCTGTGTCTCGAATGAATTAAAAAAAAAAAAATCTTAAAAAAAAAACAATGGAACTTTTAAAATTGAATCTTAAGTATAATATAAATATGTAAATCATACACGTTACATGGAATTTATTAATACATACTTCCCCCACTTCTTACAAGTTCAAAGCTACAAAAAAGTTGAAAGAAAAATACAGTGAATAGGGCACCTGGGTGGCTCAGATGGTTGGGCGTCTGCCTTCAGCTCGGGTCACGATCCTGGGGTCCTGGGATTGAGTCCTGCATCGGGCTCCCTGCTCCTCAGGGAGCCTGCTTCTCCCTCTGCCTCTTTCTCTCTCTCTCTCTGTGTCTCTCATAAATAAATAAAATCTTAAAAAAGAAAAATACAGTGAATACCTGTATACCTATCACTCTTTTGCTTTCTCTCTCTCTCTCTGTTTCCTGAGCCATTGGAAAGTTTTGGTTATTGGGGCACCTGGCTGGCTCAGTCGACAGAGCATGCAACTCTTGATCTCATGGTCCTGAGTTCAAGTTCCACATTCAGAGTAGAGATTACATTTCACCACTAAATATTCACATTATGTTTCTACTAAGAATAAGGACATTCTCCTACATAATTACAGTATCATTATTTTGGTGGTCTGAGTAATGGTCCCCAAATATGTCTACATCCTATGCCTGGAACCTGTGAATAGTTACATGGTAAAAAGAATTTTGTGGGCGTAATTAAATTAAGGGTCTTGAGATGGGGAGATTATTCTGGGTTAGCCAGGTGGACCCGTGATAATCACAAGAGTCCTTATAAGTAGGATCCAGAGTTAGAACTAGGAGATGACAGAAGCAGAAGAGTTGGAATGATGTGAAGGGGTCACATACAGGCAGCTTCTAGAAGCTGAAAGAAGCAAGGAAACAGTCTCTAAAGTCTCTAGAAGGAAGGCAGCCCGGCCAACACCTTGATTTTAGACTGCTGACCTCCAGAACTGTAAGAGAATAAATTTGTGTTAAATCACGAAGTTTGGGGACACCTGGGTGGCTCAGTCGGTTAAGCGTCTGCCTTCGGCTCAGGTCATGATCCCAGGATCCTGGGATCGAGTCCCGCATCGGGCTCCCTGCTCAGCGGGAAGCCTGCTTCTCCCTCTGCCTGACACGCCTCCCTGCTTGTGCTCTCTCTTTCTCTCTCTGACAAATAAATAAATAAATAATCTTAAAAAAAAAAAAAAAAGGAAATCACAAAGTTTGTAGTTACTTGTTACAGCAACAAAACCTATACAATTATTAATATCTAAAAGAGTTCATACTAAAATTTCCACAACTGTCCCCAAAATGTACCTTGTTTTCTTTCCCTTTTTTTAAAAAGATTTATTTTGGGGGCACCTGGGTGGCTTAGTCGTTAAGGGTTTGCCTATGGCTCAGGTTATGATCCCAGCATCCTGGGATCTAGCCGGTGTCAGGCTCCCTGCTCAGCGAGAAGCCTGCTTCTCCCTCTCCAGTTCCCCCTGCTTGTGTTCCCTCTTTCGCTCGCTCTCTCTGTCAAATAAAATCTTTTAGAAAATAAAAAAATAAAAGATTTCTTTAGATTTATTTTAGAGGCCGCGCATGAGTGGGGGAGGGGCAGAGAGCAGCAGAGAAGCAGACACCCCACTGAGCACAGGGCCAGATGGGGAGCTCCATCCCAGGATCCTGAGATCAAGACCTGAACAGAAACCAAGAATAGGAGGAGGAGGCTTAACCGACTGAACCACCCGGGTACTCCCCCAAGCTTGAACTTCGAAAGTTTTATTCAGGGGCGCCCAAGTAGCTCAGTCGGTTGGGTGTCTGCGTTTGGCACAGGTCGTGATCCCAGCGTCCTTGGATAAGGCCCCCCGCTGAGGCTCCTTGCTCAGCGGGGAGTCTGTTTCTCCCCCTCCCTCTGCCTGCCCCTCCCCCTGCTTGTGCTCTCTGTCAAATAAAATCTTTAAAAAAAGAAAAAGAAAAGCAGAAGTTAAAAGTTTTAGGGCGCCTGCCTTCAGCTCAGGTCATGATCCTGGAGTCTCAGTATCAAGTCGCGACGGGCTGCCTCGCGGGGAGTCTACTTCTCCCTCTGACCCTCCCCTCGACCCTCCCCCCTCTCATGCTCTCTCTTTTTCTCTCAAATAAATATCTTTAAAAAAAATAAAAGTTTTGGGCGCCTGGGTGGCTCAGTCGTTGAGCGTCTGCCTTCGGCTCGGGTCGTGATCCCAGGGTCCTGGGATCGAGGCCCACATGGGGCTCCCTGCTCGGCGGGAAGCCTGCTTCTCCCTCTGCCATGCTCCCTGCTTGTGTTCCCTCTCTCTCTGTCTCTCTGTTAAAAAATAAAAATAAAAAATCTTTAAAAAAATAAAAAATTAAATTAACCGACCCTATTTTTTTTAAAAAAATGTTTTATTAAAGGCTTCAACAAAAACACTTTACCGAATATTCTATTGGTAGCAAACATCTGTTGGGCGACTGCTCTGTGCCCCATGCCAGGCGCAGGAGGCAATTTAAGTTAATGCTTGGTGGTCTCCAAATTCAAAGCCTTCGGGATGAAATGTATCAGCCACCTCTGCTAATGTACTTGGATTTCTTAAAACGGTGCCATTGCTGGAGGGTAAGGCTGCAGTGGGTACCTCTCCCCAAAATGGCTCCTTCCTTTTCCGTCCTCCAGGGTGAGGGCTTTCATCTCCTGCCCCCTCTGGGGTCAGCATCGCCTCTCCAACATAAACTCCACAGCAGCACAATCCAAGCCACGCCTAAGACATCATTTTTCTAAAAGCCTAGTAAGGAGTGATGTAATGCAATCCACCATGAGCGACCTTCCTCGTGGCTAGAAGTACAGATAGACCCTTTGCGCAGTAAGACCCATGCACCCGATTCGTTCAAGTTACCTACTCAATAAATCGATTTTGTTGCAGGCGCTGGGCTAGTCGGGTGAAAATTGAAAATTGCAGTTTATTTAAAATGCGCATAGCACAGAGATCCGCACTGCAGCGGTGATGCGTGAGAAAACCCCCATAAGAAAAAAAACCGAGATCCCCCAGAAACACTACACTGTACCGGGTTGTAAAAATGCTAAAAGCACCTGGTTCTGCAGGTTCCAAAGACACCCATTTGAACCACTAGCTCCTGCCACAATCCAAAAGCTTCAAAACAGGTGGTAAGAAAACACAAAAAGAACTTTTCTCAGCGAAACCGGCTCAAAACATCTTATAACCGTATTAGCCAAGCATTGTAATGGAGAGTTAAAAAGACACCAAAGGGAAAAAAAAAATCATTGCTTCGAAGCCACTGGCGCTAAGTAAGCTAACTTTCAGTTCACACTACCGCAATCTACTGAGAACTCAATCAATAGCTAATACATCGACTTAGTCTTCCCATACTAACGTTACGAACTTAACAAAAGTTAAAAAAGAAGCACGTTTTAATACAGTCACCATCAGAAACCGTAAGATACTTGAAAATAGAAGCGAAGTCTTTTTTTTAACACATCTTGATAAGCCCTGCAAGCGCAAGGCCTCAAAAAATTGGGTAAACACTCAGAATTGTTCCTCTCCACGGAAATCTTTAGTAAAAGGCGAAAGATTTATACGATCTGAAGAGAAACCAGAGTATGGTTTAATATTTCGCTCACACAGCCCACGGGTAACTGTCACTCCTAGAACAGCAATGGTAGTTACTTATCCAAAAGAGCCAGTGACTTCTGTCTTTATCTCAGGCAATTCTGTGATGGCAATCTGATTTCTGGGGGGGGGAAGAAAAGTTGAAAGAAAAAGAAAAATCTAGCCATTTTTAGAAAATTAATACCCTGTGTGCAATGCATTGTGGGTATGTAAATGAAGCTTAGTCACCAGCCTCCGGTTGCCGTAAATTCCTTAGTTCGTTTTCCTGCTAGGCCTAGAGCCACCACCAGGGGGCAGGGCAGAAGCCAGATTTGCAGGGACATAGACGCCTGCCTGGTCCAGAGTCTCATTTTATTTTTTTTGTTTTCATTTTGTTTTATAATTGACACTCCAAGGTAAAATTTATCTTGAATAAAAATTAAAATTGAACTTTTTTAAGTCTTGAAAATAATTGTCTTCTTGCATTCATTCAACAAAAATATATTGAACACTGTGTCAAACCCTGTGCTGGGCTTCAGGAATGTGTGGTGAGCACAGATAACAGAATGTTCAGTGACACATGGGCCAAACATGAAAGGATTCATCAAAGTAGGGTGGTGAGGGCATTCAGGGCAGCACCATAAGCAGTATGAGCCGGGGTAGTGAAAGGGCAAGTGGCCCAGATTTTGACGGGCCTTCAATGCCAAGCAAAGAGCTTCAACTTACCATGAGGGCAATGGGGAGCAATTGAAACTCTTTAAAGGACAATAGGATCAGATTAGTGGTTTGAAGCAGCATCAGCATCACCTGGTGTTATTGGTGTTATGAGTTGAATTGTGCCTCCCCAAATTCATTTGTTGAAGTCTTTATTCCCAGTATCTCAGAATGTGACTTTATTTGGAAATAGCGTCATTCCAGGTGTAATTAGTTAAGGTGAGGCTTCCAGAACTCTGAGACAATTCATTTCTGTGATTTAAACCACCCAGTCTGTGGTGCTTTGTTATGGAACTCTAGAAAATATACCTGGGTACTTGTTAGAAATGCAAATGATCAGCCCTCATCCCAGGCCTACAGTCAAAAACCGGGGGAAGGGGGACCCAAGTGTCTGGGTTAACAATCCTCGGGTGATTCTGATGCAGGCTAAATTGAGAACCACTGAACAGCCGCGGCTGCGGCTCAGATTTGGAGATTATAACGAGCAAGAAGTTGAGAGACAATTTAGGACACGAAGCAGTAAAGCCAGAGAGAAATGATGGCCCAGACTGCCCAAGGAACGAGTGCAAGATGAGGAGAGGCAAACCACTCGGAGAGATCCCTAAAAAACAGTGGCAGGGGGCGCCTGGGTGGCTGTCGGTTTAAGCGTCCGCCTTCGGTTCAGATCAAGATCCCAGCGTCCTGGGATCGGGTCCTACACTGGGCTCCTTGCTCAGCAGTGAGTCTGTTTCTCCCTCTCCATCTACCCCTCCACTTGCTCGCTCGCCTTCTCTCTCTCTCTCTCTCAAACAAGTAAATAAAATCTAAAAACAAAAAACAGTAGCCTACAGGAGCCCCTCGGCAGGAGCACATGCAATTAACTAGGAAGGTTGGCGGAAAACCAGGAGAGTGAACCAAACCGAAACCAAGGGCAGGAAAGACGTTTCAGGAAGGGAGTGGTGAGTTGTGTCCAATGCGGGAGATGGGGCGGCCAGGTCCGTGGGCTTCAGCAGCGCCGCAGTTGCCGGGGACCTGGCCAGAGCGGTTTCCAGAGAGTGGGGCGCGGCGGCAGCCGGGCTGCGGGGAGCTGGCGGGGAGCGGAGGTCAGGAAGCGGGCGGTGCGGGCAACTCTCCTGAGAAGGCTGGCCATGAAAAATCAGGAAAACCAACAGACCGTTTCTGGAAAGGCGGGAGATCGAAGGCTAGCCCTCCGCCTCCCCCGTTTAAGGTTAGCATCTCGCCGAAGGGAAGGAGCCGGTTGGGGGACCGAGGGAAGAAGGGCCAGGAGACTGGAATTAAACGGTGCGGGGTGGGGTGGGGGGCGAGGATGGTGGTCCATCTTGGGTGCGAGGGAGGCCCCGGACTCCGACTCTGTGACTCCGGCGACAGGTGGGCGGAGGCGTGCGGGTAAACCCCACCGTGGTGACGGGCCGCGGAGCTGCCCCCCCGCCTCGGGCGGCGCTCCAGCCCTCCAGCCTCCCCTACCTCTCTGCAGCCGGCAAAGCCCCAGCCTTCCACCTTCTCAACATCTCTGTTCCCTGGAGCAGCTGAGCCGTCCCTCCGATGAAAGCCCCACTCCTACTTGACACGTCCCTCGTTGGCTTGGCTTCCCCACGCCCGAGGCCCCGGCCTTTACCTTCTCTCGCGAAACCGTGCCGCACCTTCCCCCGCTCCCCTAGCAGACGACCTCGCCACGGATTCGTCTGAGAAGGCGGAAGCCATTTCCCCTAACTACCCACCCCCCAAAAAACCCGAGCCCCCAGCAGCTGCCCCTCCTCCACTAGGGCTTGTGAGCCACCTCCAAGCCCCTGTAGCCTGCGGGCTTCCACCGGCGGCCCCCTCAGGGGCATCTACTCTCCTCTCTCCGTGGGTCGTCCCTGCAGACCCAGGAGGCTCCGTTTTCTCCCAGCTGGAAAAAAAGGGGAGGAGGGAGAGGAGAGGGAAGGAAATAGCCAGCTCACCCTCCAACCACATTCTCCTTTTGGAATAGAGTGAACACAACAAAACAACTTCACTCTGTTTTTGTTTCAGGAAAAGTTCTGACGCAAGTCTCTTCCTTAAAAATAGGGCGCCTGGGTGGCTCAGTCGTTAAGCATCTGCCTTCAGCTCGGGCCATGATCCCAGGGTCCTGGGATCGAGCCCCGCATTGGGCTCCTTGCTCCGCGGGAAGCCTGCTTGTGTTCCCTCTCTCGCTGTGTCTCTCTCCGTCAAATAAATAATATCTTTTTTTTAAAAAATTTATTTATTTATTTATTCATGAGAGACAGAGAGAGAAGCAGAGGGAGAAGCAGGCTCCCAAGGAGCAGGGAGCCCGATGCGGGACTCGATCCCAGGACCCTGAGACCATGACTTGAGCCGAAGGCAGACGCTTAACCATCTGAGCCACCCAGGCGCCCAAATAAATAATATCTTTAAAAAAAAAAAAAAACATTTTCCTGGGGGGCGGGGGGGAAGTGGATGAAATAGGTGATGGGGATTAAGGAGGGCACTTGGTGTGATGAGCACCGGGTGATGTCTGGCAGTGTTGAATCGCTGTATTGTACACCTGAAACTAACATAACAGTTAACTATAGTGGAATTAAAAATAAAACAATGCACTGAAAAGAATGTAAAAAAAATAATAATAAAATTGCGTTGTAGGAGTAAGAAAAGGGGCGCCTGGCTGGCTCAGTTGGAGGAGACGTGACTCTTGATCTTGGAGTCATGAGTTCCAGCCCCAGGTTGGGTGTAAGATTACTTAAATAAATAAACTTAATAAAAAAAAATTCCTGCAGCCACAAGAGAAGAAATGGGACTTTTATTCTAAACAAATAGCTTCTACTGAGTTTCACCTTAAGGAACCTTCACTGTGGATGCATTTATATTGACTGGTACAATTTTGACTTAATTTTCACACTAGACTTTTGTTTAAATGACTCATGTAATTAAAAAATGCTTCACAAATCTTGAAATTGATTCAAACTTCAGAGACTTCAAGATGTGTTTTTTGGTAGGTGAAATAATTTCTATAGTAAGAGTTCTTACTTTAATCCTTGTCTCTCCTTCCTCACTTCTCATTTTATTTTAAAAAAATTGTCATGAGGGGGCACCTGGGTGGCTCAGTCAGTAAGCATCTGCCTTCGGCTCAGGTCATGGTCCCAGGGTCTTGGGATCAAGCCCCGCATAGGGTTCCCCGCTCCATGGGAGGCCTGCTTCTCTCCCACTCCCCCTGCTTGTGTTCCCTCTCTCGCTGTGTCTCTCTCTGTCAAATAAATAAAATTTAAAAAAAAATTGTCATGAGGTGTGCCTGGGTGGCTCAGTCGGTTAAGCATCAGATTCCTGATTTCAGCTCGGGTCATGATCTCAAGGTTGTGAGATTGAGTCCCAAAATGGGGGACCTGCTTAAGATTCATTCTCTCTCTCAAATTAAAAAAAAAGTCATGAATTATTTCTAACTCCATAGAAAAGTACAGAGGACAAAAACACACCCAGTACTACAATTTAATAGATATGAACATATCTTCAAATGTGCTTTAGATATGCTTGTAAATGAAAACCTCTTATAGGTTTCCTTCCTCCATTTTGGAGCCTCTGCCCTTCCATCCACCCGTCAAATAAATAAGTTTTTTAAAAAACAACACTACATCTAATAACTTGTGTATATGTTTTTTTCCATATTTGTGGGTTTGTATTTTTTTTTTTTTAGGTAATCTCTACGTCCAACCTGGGCCTTGAACTCACAACCCTGAGATCAAGAGTCACATGCTGAGTTATAGCCTAAGTCCTATCATTGTAGGAGGATTCTGCAGCCACTATATCAACCAGCACAGATGTTTCTCTTTCTTCACATGATGAAGATCAGGGATCTAAACTTATCTGGAAAGCTAGAGAGGCACACTTTGTTTCCATTGGAATGGCAGGGTTTGCAGCAATCGTTGCATATGGATTATATAAATTGAAGAGCTGGGGAAATACTAAAATGTCTGCTCACCTGATCCACATGCGTGTGGCAGCCCAAGGCTTTGTGGTGGGAGCAATGACCCTTGGTACGAGCCATTCCGTGTATAAGGAATTCTGGGCAAAGCCTAAACCTTAGAAGAAGAGTAGTTGTTTTGTTGGTGGTGCTTGTTTTAGTTAGGCATCTCATATTGAGTTTGTATGTTTATGTTGAAAATAAATTGTCTGAGTGGGCCAGACAATAACATGGTAATTTAAATTTTGGCTTCCTTTTTTGCGGGCTTGATTTACCTGGTAACCAAATTACTAGTGACCAGTTAACTAGCTAGGTCATTCAGGGGAGTCAAATTAGCACAAAAGAAACACGTCACTTTTAAATGTACTTCATAGTGGTATAATATGCTTCTTCTTAAACCCTTCTGATAAAATCAGTTATAGAGAGGACAATTTGCCAATCCTGAAGTACTCCAGTTGCTTTTGAAGTTATGTAGGAATCCTGTTTAATTTAATTTATTTTCTGCCTGTTTTGCAGACTGA